AATTCAGAACTAAAGCAAGCCAAAAGAATCACAATGCCATAACGGCGACGGCAACTTTGACGGCAAGGAATGGTGGGAGGAGCGATAAACCAAAGGAGGGAGAGTGGAGGGTTAGGGTTTGAAGTTCATGAGTCATTCTCTCAGTTCCTCCTCTCTCTCCTCAAAGTGAAAGCACCGGAAGAGAAAAAAAATTAACGCAGCAATCTCTCTATTTTTTTTAACAGGGGTATTTAAGTAATTTTTCTGTAAAACTGAGCAAAAATAAATTCTCCTTCAAATAGGGCCGAGGTTCTAACCTAGAACCTCTAGCCTCCTTAGCTACCTTTGTTACCATCTATCTCCAAGCTTTGTTCAATACTCAAGCTACAACAATTAATATAAGTATTAGTTAATTTATTAAGAAAATTTCAAGATATCACAACAAGCATAGAATATCACATTGTTTAAAGTGTCCATGTAACTTGCATCAACTCTACTGTGCTTAAAGGCATGCCATTTAAGCAATTCAAGACCTTCTTCTCTATTTAAAAAGTCTACCTCATAAATTCCTTCAACACCATGGCTTACTAGCAAATGCTTATCCCTTGTTGTTACAATGATTCTACTACCAGAACCGAACCAATCAAGTCCCCCAGCAATTGCTTGTAATGGCTTTAGCTTATCAACATCATCAAGAACAAGGAGAACCTTCTTTTTGTGGAGCCTATGCTTTATTATTGGAATTCCTTTATTAACATCTCTTAATTTGACGTCTTCCTCCAGCATTTCAGAAAGAAGTATTTCCTGGAGATACACTAGGCCATGATTAATTGAATTTTCTCTGACATCAGCAAGAAAACAAAACCCTTCAAATGAGTCCACAATCAAACTGCATACTGCTCGAGCAATTGTTGATTTTCCTATTCCACCAGTGCCAGATATTCCTACCATTTGGACCCCTTCACTAGATTCAACATCGAGAAGAGAATTTACTTTTTGCACTTGATACTCAAGTCCAACTAGATAATCAGCAATATGTAAAGGCTTTCGGTTGATTCTCCTAGTGACTTCTTTAACAATCGCTTTGATAAAAGCATATTCATATTGATACCTACACCAATAACAAATTTTTTGAAAAAATCAAACTAAGTGCATGTGCATCAAATCAATATTGTGCTCATGTCATATCATAGATTATACCAAATGCATCGTAATAAGCATTCGGAGACAAAACATCCCAATGTAAGATTCAAACACTTTAGATTGTGCAATGTTCATGATTCTAGGCCTCAGTTAGTTGTTTATAATATGTGTTTGTAAGTACATGCATTTGTATGCACAAGAATGATTATCAAATAAACGAAGAGAATATATTATTAGCCAAAATCAATTCATGCTCTGTTTCCATTTTTTTCTTTCAAGACACATAAGAGCTACAGAAAATAATATAGCATTTCAAACTTTTGAAAGTCATAATTTGTGTTGCAGCCTTCTTAGATTTTAATTTGGTAGGAACAATCAATATCAAATAGACAAATAAACGATGCAAAGCAAATGAGAGGCAATGTATACATACCCAGGTTTGAAATGGAGACCCGAGAGATTAGCAGCATCTTGTAGAGCCGACCTCCATTTTTGCAGCTTCTCCTTGTCATTTTGAAACCTCCTTCCATGCTGAGCAAATACTTCTCGATAATTTTTTCTTTGATGGCGTACTTCTGATGGATCCACGTTATAAAAAATGGGCAAAACCAATCTACCTTTTTTATTTATATGCTCAAGAATGTGAACAAGCTCATCTAAGCAAAATGTAGAGGAAGCATAATTTCTACAGAAAATAGTAATAGCCATTCTAGACTCTTGGATTGCTTTGAGAAGTGATGGTGTAATCTTTTCTCCTTTTCTAAGCCTTTCATTGTCTAAAAAAGTATGGATACCTTTTTGTTGTAAAGCCTCGTAGAGGTTTCTAGCAAAACCAAAGCGGGTATCTTCACCTCGGGAATTGAGAAAGACATCATAAGTCCACCCATAAGAGAAAGAAGAGGAAAATGGTGATTGCTGAGCCATCGTAGCTGGTAGAAATGATCCTCGACCTGCTGGGGAAAGAACACAAATGCCAGTGCTTTAAAAGTCTAATATCTTTTTCCTTCCCAACTGTATCGATTTTGTATGGCATAGAAATTCTAACAAATCACGACGCATAAATTTCTGAGACTCGTGTGTTACGCTAGTATAACAATCGCTGGAAGCGGACCAAAGAAATGATTAGCAATAGAAAATCAAGTCGACAAAATCCTACTTTCATCAGCACAGAATCTGAGGACTTATCTAGTAGAACGAGAAGATCAAGTCAACAAGATGGTTTTTCTCTTAATTTTCCAATGATCAAGTCAACAGAATGGGTATGAAATAGAAACGCATTCACAAGGAAATGACATGTAACAAAATAAATTAGTATAGATTATATCCCCAGTCTGAAGCTGAAGACGCAAATAAGAAATTTTGCCCCAAATTCTCGGCCACCAAACATTAAACCACTAGGAGATTGGGGTAGTATTGAAGTAGAATTCAAGAAACAAACCTTTTGGCGTTGGATGAACGTGCAGTCAATTCAGTGACGACAATGAATTTTGATTTTCAATAGCCTACGTCTAATTTCTCGGGCATTTAAGCATAGTCTGACTTTTTTGCATTTTCTATTTCTTTCATATCAACTATGGCCCGACACGGAAAGGTGACTGCATCCAGGAGGCATCTCATCAAACATCATCTGGCCAACCAATCTGCCAAACTAATGTCTTCTCTTTGCGCATGATGTTGACGTCCCAGTCCAGCAACTGTAAACTCCTAACTTCACTAACCAGATCAAAAGAAGAGGGGGAAAAAGAAAAAACGAGAAGTGTGTATCTGAATGTGTGAGATTGTAATCTTCACTTGAATCAGCAAGAAACTTAGGACAGCAAGGGGGAGAATATGTAGAATTCAATTGCATTCAGATTCTCACCATGCCCTCCATATCAAGCAGCATTTGCGACCGAAAATCCTCGTCCACTTCCCTTTCCTTATGGATCTGGTTCAAGAAATTTTGTCTTGGACGTTCCACGTTGACCTTTCCGTGATGGAACTTGACAGAAATTTTCTCCTCAGATGCAAAGGAACAATATGGCTATGGAGTTCTTTTATGATCATTTGACTTGAAAATGTTGAATGTCGATAAAAGACACGTGCACTCATCAATTATTACATGCACATATTTAAATCATTAATTAATGTCAAGTTACCTCAATTTTTATATTTAAAAAGTTTAAATTTAATCTTCCTAAGATGTTAGTTTTTCACACTAAGCCTTCTCCCAACTGCCATTAATTTTATGTTAAGATAGTGACGACAGATTAATGAGAATAACATAGCTTTAACATATCATTTTGATAAAACAACAAAGTCTTGTCCCGTTACATGTCATTTTAATGAGTTAATAGTTTTATGATAATTATATATTTTTTATATAAGATTAAAATATCAATTTTGTTACTCCTCAGGTCTTTAATATAAAACTTATTTAATTAATTTGATTAGATTAAATAAGTTAGGTAAGTTAGTTAATTATACGAAACATGATATGTTTTTTTTAAATATTATAATCATCTTTCTTAATATTCTCTCTCCCTCTTTTACTTGAATGTGGCTGAGGGAGTATCCATAGAGATAATTTAGAAAAAACTGATAAATATAAAAAAATAGGTTTTATATTTAGAATTAAAATCAACTCAACAATTAGATCCTATATTAAGAATATGAGGAGTATTTAAAAAAATAAACCCTGGGTCCTTTCGCATCTCCTTGCGGCAGCCTAACATGAATAAAAATTCTTGTGCTTGCTCCGTCACCAATTTACCCTACAAACTAGATATTCTCTCTCGATGGGAGGTAGTAGCTAACACTGGCTCTACGCATTGCTACGTCCACACCAATATGAAACTTCTACTTCTTCGCACGCTGCCCTGGTCCTTAATATTATACTACTCCTCCGGTCCTTAATATAAAACTCATTTAACTAATTTGATTAGATTAAGAAAGTTAAGTAAGTTTGTTAATTATAAGAAAAATGACACATTTTTCCTAAAACATCATAATTATTTTTCTTAATACCCCTCTCCCTCTTCTACTTGATTATAGTTGAGAAAGTATCCATAGGGGTAATTTAGAGAAAATTGATAAATATAAAAAATTGGTCTTATATTTAATATCAGAACCAACTCAAGAATTGGGTCATATATTAAAGACCGGAGGAATATTTCGGATTATTAATATAAGAGTTAGTTGACTAATTTGAATATATTAAAAAAATTACTTAGTAAATAGGTTTTATTTTTCTCAAAATACTATTACTAATCATGTATACAAGCCAGAACTACTATGTAATGAAACTTTTAACATATGTAATTATTACAAAGACTACCTTAAAAAAAACAGAAAAATATGAGAGACAAAGTGGATTAGGGTTTTATATTTAAGATTAAATTGTAACAATAACAAAGAATTTTTTTTTCTTTTTTGGTGTGAATAATAGCTTTCACCACGGGGTAGAGGAGGCTTGGAAAGAATCTTTCTTCGGTATGACGATATGTGGAACACAGTTCTTTTTTTCTTTCAGGATTGAAAGTCAAGTGATCCTGCCGCAAGGAGGCGCACAGAGATTGAGAGTTTGATTTTTTTTTGATAAATCATATTAAAATAACATTTTAACCCTTATGCAAAACATATATGATTATCATAAAATTATATTAGCTAGTAGAGATGTCGTGTAGCATGCTATGTCATCCGACGCGGCAATTAAAAAAAATTAACGGTAAGGAGCTTAATATCAAAAATTAAAACATCACGAGGTTAAATTTTTTTGGACCTTGATCACAAGGATGAATTTGAACTTTGAATCATCACGGAGTTATATACAGTTGACCTTGAGGAGTTTTGTAAATTTTAACATTCCTTTGAATCATCAAAAATTTAAGTGATGAATCTTAACATACCTTGTTTCCCTCTAAAACTTGAAGAATATCTTCATGAAACCACAATCTAGTGCATTTGCCTAGTTCATTTGGTGATTTTTGCCGAACAATTTCTTTGCCTATATCTTGAATCAAACCATGCATTGTAACACGGCCATTGTCAATCTTTATGAGGCATTTATCAATCAACACCTTAATACCATAATCTGGGCATATGCCACGAGCATACAGAGCACTTGTGACATATTCCAAGCTGTCACCTTTAAAGCAACAAGCAATATCAAGAAAAATTTCCTTCTCAAATTCGTCCAAGGCATCATAACTCATTTTGAGTGCCTGTTGGATCTCTCTGTTGGGAATTCTTCGATAATTATCTAATGCAGAATTCCAATCATTGATTCCCCTATTGAACAAGTTGGAACCTATAACTTCCAAAGCCAATGGAAGTCCACCAGCATAGAGTACTACATTGTTTAACATGTCCATAAAACTTGGATCAACTTTATTTTCTCCAAAGGCACTCCATTTAAGTAGTTTAAGAGCTTCATTTTCATTTAAACTCTCTACTTCATAGATTCTTTCAACACCATGTCTTGCTAGTAAATGTTTATCCCTTGTTGTTGCAATGATTCTACTTCCAGAACCAAACCAATCAAGTGCCCCAGCAATGGCTTGCAATTGCCTTGTCTCGTGAACATCATCAAGAACGAGAAGAATTTTCTTTCTGTGAAGCCTCTGTTTCATTATTGGAATTCCTTGATTGATGTCAACGAAGTTGAGATCTTCCCCAACCAGTTTAGAAAGAAGCATTTTTTGGAGGTATGCTAGGCCGTGCTTTTGTGAATTTTTGCTGACATTAGCAACAAAGCAAAAGGCTTCAAATGAATCAGTAATTAAATTGCATACTGCTCTAACAATTATTGTTTTGCCTATTCCACCCATTCGACAAATCCCTACCATTAGGACCCATTCATTAGATTCAACATCTAGAAGAGAATTTACTTTGCGTACTCGATGCTCAAGTCCAACTGGAAAATCAGCAATGTGTAAAGGCTTGCGGTTAATTCTTCTACAGACTTTTACAATCCTTTCAATTAAATCACATTCATGTTCTTGCCTGTCCCATCACAAAATGATATGAAATATTAATTTCAATCTAAATAGTTTACTAAAATTTAAAATTTATTCCAAATGCATCAAATCAAACACTTGAACCCAATGCACCCCTTCAAATATAATACTGGCACTCCTCAGATTTCGCAGCGTCTATACTTCTTAAAGTTTCTTAGATATTAATACAGATGATACCAACTTCAAAGTAAACTAAGCCAAAATAAGAACATGCTCTTTTTCCCCCTTATGAAATTCATATTCTAAAAAGGCCTGATTATTGTTTGACTTTTATCAAACACGGAAGCAACAACTATATCTGACAAAATGCAAGCCTTTTAATCACCTGAAATTTTTTAATTGAGTTGTATTTGTATCAATGTTTAATGCTTAACGATCATCAATATCAAAAGGATGGGTTAAAGTTTGCAAAGCAAAAGAGGGGTGAAGTACTCAAATACCCGGGTTTGAAATCAAAACCAGCAATATCAGCAGCATCTCGCAGAGCCTGCTTCCATTTCTGCGTCTTCTTCTGATCATTGTTGAACCCCTGCTCATGTTGAGTAAATGCTTCTTTGTAGTTTCCTCTTTGATGTCGCACATCCGATGGTTCAACATCATAGAAAATTGGCAAAACCAGCTGACCTTTTTTCTTTCTGCACTCAAGGATGTGAACAAGCTCATCTAAACAAAATGTTGAAGAAGCATAATTCTTGGAGAAAATTGTGATGGCTATTGTAGACTCTTGGATCGCTTTAAGAAGAGATGGAGTCATCCCTTCTCCTCTTCTTAGCCCGTTGTTGTCTATAAAAGTATGAATACCCTTTTGGTGCAGAGCTTTGTAGAGATTTATTGTAAAATCAAAGCGAGTATCTTCATCTCTAAAATTAAGAAACACATCATAAGTCCATCCATAAGTGAGAGAAGAGGAGGAAAATGGTGATTGCTCTTCTATGATAGCTAATTGAAAATGGATGTTATCGTGTAGGTTGTGAAGCAGAATCTTCACTGAGGAAGGGTCTTGCTTATAGTCTGTTCTTTAGCAATGGATTTTAAAGAAAACCATGGTCGAATATTAAGCAACTACCTAAGCATAATTAATATTTTAATCCCTCTATTGTTCTTAGTAAAACAAAATTGTGCGTATAATATCATAGACGGGGAAAAGCTGGCAGGATACCAGCTCATGCAAAAATATATAAATGTCTTTAGTCAATAGTCAATACTTCAGGGATCTGTTTAACTTGATTTATTATTTAATAAATAATATTCGCATTATTTATTCTAAAAATTATTACTCATATCTAGTACTACATTATTTAGTTTTGAATTTTATCACTGTATATATGCAACTAGACACGAGTTTTTTTATTTTGTAATTATATTGTTCATAATTATGAATAATATACCTTGTTGTGACAGGAAAGATGTGTCTCGTTAAATATTTTATACAATATATTGACATATTAAAATATTCATTTATTTTTTTACTCATATGGAGAATCTTTTTCACCATCTTTTACTCAGAGAATTAATGAATAGTGAGTAGAAGAAACTCCAATCATTAAATCTTGTAATACTAATATATTGATTTCAAGGTCTTGTTTGGTTGTGTATTTTATCTAAGCCTTGCTACGCTTAAGACATGGTGTATTTTTATTGTTGTTTTGTTTTTGCTTTCTTAACTCAAGAATGTGGTCTCTGTGCTTGTGATTCTGTGAAATGAGTATGGAATTTCCAGGCAGGAAAATGATACTCATGGATTGACAACCAAATTCGGATTAAATATTTAAATTAGTACTTTAATCCCTTAATTTTATTCCAAATTTTTAAGTTAGTCTCTTAACAACCACTTATGATGAACTACCAATATGTTCCACCACAATGGTTGGCTCCTGCCTTGGTAAAACTACCAATATGATGGTCTTTAAAAATTAACAATCAACTAATTGATTTCACATGACCCCCCAGGGAACAATTGTTAAATTATAAAAGTTAGGTCAAACAAATATCTTAATCCCTTATTTTGGAGACAAAGATGATGAACGTTAGAGGAAAATACTCTGCCCGTCAGGGGACAAAGTCAAACTCCAAGAAGAGTTCTTAAAATATCAACTCTTAAAGGGTTAATAAGCTTTTGTTTTTAATATAAGAGCTAATTAACTAATTTGAGTAGATTAAGAAAATTAGTTAAGTTAGTTATTTATAATAAATAGGCATTGTCTTTCTTAAAATACCCTTACTAATTATGTATATGAACAAAGACTATTATTTGTACAATGATTACTTTGAGGAAAAAAATGAATGAATATGAGAGCTAAAGTATATCAGGATCTTATATTTAGAACCAAATTGAAAGTCAAACAAACTCTTATATTAAAAATTAGAGGCGGTAATATTTTCTGTTCATCCTTTTTCCCTTCCTTTTCTCTTGTACAGACTACAGATAACAAGTTTCCATTAGCTATATGATTTATGAATTTGGATAATTCGTTTTAAGGATTTCATTATTGATGGTATTGAACTTTTCACTCGTAATCTTCACTTCTAGAACTATTTTGACTTAGAAGCTGAGTTGCTGAAGAAAAATTAGAAAACTAGCTAGCAATTTGATTGATTTGGGTAAACAACAGTTCGTGGCGCTATGTTTCTTTTCTCTATAGCAAGAGCTTCATGTAAGAAGCTCAATTAATAGATATCAGAGTTTGCCGAATCCCTTCCCCCATGAAAAAAGAGGACCAGAATAGTCATATATATGGCAATATCAGACACCATACACCAACTTATAAGAAAATTTCACGAAACAGAACATAGAAATTTGGACACAGCTACCATAACCATCCTAACTAATGGCTAAATCAAAGCTTCCAAGAACTCGAGAGATAAAAAGATGCAATCGTCAATTTCCAGCGGCAAGAGCAAAACTGCAGCTACCAACCAAGGCGAAGAGATATGCTATAGGAGCCAACTCCAAAATGGGCAATCACAAGCAGTTAATGAAACCACCATTGTTATCATTAACATGGAACCACAAACACAGTTGTAGATCTATCAGCATGGTATGGGCCAGCAGCAAACCTCTTGAAATATCTTCACAGCGTAACGCTGCGTGATGAAAAATCCATCAACAATGTCTCACCATAACTGTTTCCATTCATGGAAGATCGATCTACTAATTCAGGAACAGCTTCCAGGTTACGACTTCTAAATAGAATATTTTACAATAGGTCTTTCTGTATCCATAGTGCATCCAACAAAGTTATTGAACAAATTTAGATGAACCAAGTGACGAAACAAACATTTACGCAGTGTTTCTTAGCATATAATTCTTAGTGACAGCTTGGCATTTTCTTTCTCGTCCATCCATCCTTACTTATCCACCAGGCACAGTGAAGAGAAGGAGTGAAAGGAGGGGGGATCCATATTGATAGATCTCTCTTATTCCTCTTTCTTTTTCTCGATTCAGTAATGGGTTTGGATGAAAGGGACACGACTGCATCGTTGCTGACTCTGACATTGATGTGGGAACATTTCATTCTACGCAGGGCTAGCTCAGCAAAATTGTCTGGATTCATGGAGGATTCACGCAATAGCTCGGGTACTGCTCCCTAGCGATGATTTATGAATCGAATATCTTCCATTCTGGATTTTTGCTTGTATACATATGCTCCGCTCCATTTTGCCCTTGCCATACCATATATTTCATCCAAGCCCCATGGATGGTAGCAATTTATGTAACCCAAGACACAGGATATCTCCACGTGGTTCCATCCACGCTCTGAAACTACACTTTCCAGTTTATCCTCAAGAATGAGCTGTCGCAAATCAAACATAAATATATGTGGTGTTGTAAGTGGCGCAAAAATTTTTTGCCCTTCTGGAAACCCAACATTTGTGCCATTAACTCGGGCGTCAATAAGCAGTTTTGGTGGTGTGTGCCATTGGTCCTCTATTAATGTACCAAAACATACAGCCATGTTTGGGAATTCCTTTTGGAAACAAAAAGACAATGAATGTCCCTCAACATAGTGGTCAAACCATTCCGGGGTCTGGTCGTCTTCTACTACGAATTTCAAGCCATCAACCTCACGTAAAGCCTGTTGCAAAACGGATCAAGCAGAGAGTTATTTGTGAGATTAATGTTTGTGGGAGAAGAATTTGAGAGAACTATCTATAGAGTACAGAGTAACAAGTCTTCTCTTACGTCTCTACAACAAGCATATTAGCAATTCATAACATAAAGGAGTTACTGCAATAGAAACACTAGATCAAGCAAGGGCAATCAATATTTGAAACATGATTACATTTTTTTGTTCAAGTGTCATGTCAATTTGTTTTTTTCCAGATAATATCATTTCATTATGTGTGTTTTGGCGCCAACTTCATTTTAAAGCATTTCAAGATTCATCATATAGACGCAATTAAAAGAGTGAAAGAGAGACTAACCTGATGCAGTAAAATGCTGCGAGACTCTAAGCTCAATTGTGAGTACCAATCAAGGTTTATTGCTGACAGTTCTCTTAGGTTTGGTGGAATACCTCTAATTTTTTCAATATTTCTACAAAATGAAAGTTCTAGATTTTCCAATCTAATGAGGTTTTTGAATGACAAAGGCAATTCTTCTATGCCACTATCATCCAAACAGACATCTTTGATATTTTCCATCGTTCCTAATATTTCTGGGAATCTTGTGAGGCTGGAGCACCCAGAAAGGTCAAGAAACTCTAGGGATCTTAACTTGATACTTGGAAAGGTCTTGAGCTTCCGGCAGTGTTTAACACTCAACCTTTTAAGTTTACCAAGAAATCCAATGGACATGTGAACTTCAGTTAACTTGTTGCAGCCTTCCAAACACAATTCCCTCAAATCTGGGACAGCAGATAAGTCAGAAACTCGTCTTAAATATTTGCAACCTCTGAAATTCATCATGCTCAAAGACTGAAACTTCTGCAAGACAGGATTAAAAAAAAACAAACCACGTTGTAATGAATTGTAAGAACATCACAAAACATTAAAATTAATACTGACACCGCTCATATTATGGAACAAAATTTCAAGTGTTCTTGCTTCATAGTAAAACAAAATAATGATGAAAAGTGCCAATACTCTGCATGCCTTGAGTAGTACATCACGTTTGAGGAAACTTTCTGGCATTTTGAGGATAATTAGCTCCCTGGGGTTAAAGTCAGAAGGTAAAGATGGACAAGGATATCCCTTCCAATCCAACACTCTTAAACCGTTGGGGAGATGCGTGGGTCCTGTAGAAAACTGTGCATTTCTGATGATAAGTATCTTTAGATTTGGCATCTTTTTGAAGGCCTTTCCACTCCAATCAATCACCATATCTCCAGGCATGTCTAGATTTATGGCTTCAATCTTGCCAGAACCCTTCCACACCAAGCAACAGAGTAAACCAGAAAATTTGTCAGATGTACTACGAATTGGTATAAAATTCAACAAAAATATATTAGAACATAACGCACAAGTAAAACAGAATAATAATAATAATACCACGTTGATCAAGAAATGGGAAGAGGAAAGGGGGGAAGCTAGAATTGATTAAGGAATACTAGAGAACACTATGATCAAAAAAGTAAAAATATGAAAAATATACATGTACAAGTCACTCTCACCTTGTTTTCTTCCAACACATTATGAATGTCTTTATGAAACCATAACCTAGTGCGCTTTCCAGGCTCATATGGTGATTTGTGTCGCACAATTTCTTTACCCATGGCTTGAATCAAATCATGCATAGCCACCTTACCATGATTCATCTTTATCAGACACTTATCAATCAATACCTTAACACCATAATCTGGGCATATACCACGAGCATACAAAGCACTTCTTACATATTCAAAACTGTCACCTTTAAAGCAACAAGCAATGTCAAGAAAAATTTCCTGCTCGTATTCCTCCAGAGAATCATAGCTTACCTTCAGAATTTGTTGGATCTCTTTAATTGGAATACTATGATAACTTTCTAACGCAGAATCCCAATCATTTATTTCTCTACCGAGCAAGTTGGAACCTATAACTTCCAACGCCAATGGAAGACCACCAGCATAGAGTACTACATTGTTTAAAACGTCCATGTAACTTGCATCAACACTACTTCGTTTAAAAGCATGCCATTTAAGCAATTCGAGACCTTCTTCTTTATTTAAACAGTCTACCTCATAAATTCTTTTCACACCATGGCTTACTAGCAAATGCTTATCCCTTGTTGTTAAAATGATTCTGCTACCAGAACCGAACCAATCAAGTCCTCCAGCAATTGCTTGTAATTGCTTTAGCTTATCAACATCATCCAGAACAAGAAGAACCTTCTTTTTTTGGAGCCTATGCTTTATTATTGGAATTCCTTTATTAACATCTCTTAACTTTATGTCCTCCTCCAACAGTTCAGAAAGAAGCATTTCCTGGACATATGCTAGGCCATGATTAATTGAATTTTCTCTGACATCACCAAGAAAACAAAAGCCTTCGAATGAGTCCACAATCGAATTGCATACTGCTCGAGCAATTGTTGATTTTCCTATTCCACCGGTGCCACATATTCCTACCATCTGGACCCCTTCATTAGATTCAGCATTTAGGAGAGAATTTACTTTTCGCACTCAATACTCAAGTCCAACTGGATAATCAGCGATGTGTAACGGCTTGCGGTTAGTTCTCCTAGTGACTTCTTTAACAATCGCTTTGATAAAAGCATATTCATATTGATCCCTGCACCAATAACAAATTTTTTGGAAAATACAAGCTAACTGTTTTAAATCAATCTTGTGGTTATATCACAACATAGATTCATATTAAATGCATCAACACAAACATTCAGACACAAAACATCTGAATATAAGATTCAAACACTTTAGATTTGCAAAGTAAAAGACAGATGATTTTGGGCCTCATTTATAATATATGTATGTAAGTACATATAAACGTATTTATGCAAAAGACTGGCTATCAAATAAACTAAACGCAAATATATTAGCCATAGTAAATGCGTGTTCTGTTTTCATTTTTCTTTCACGACACATAAGAGCTATTATAGCACTTCAAACTTTGAAAGTCATAATTTGTGTTGTAGCCTCTATTAGATGTTAATTTGGCAGTAAAAATCAATATCAAATAAACAAATAACAGATGTAAAGCAAAAAAGAGAGGCAACGTACTAACTTACCCAGGTTTGAAATGGAAACCCGAGAGATTAGCAGCATTCTCCAGAGCCCGCCTCCATTTTTGCACCTTCTCCTTGTCATTTCTAAGCCTCCTCTCATGCTGAGCAAATACTTCTCGATAATTTTTCCTTTGATGCCGTACTTCTGATGGATCCACGTCATAAAAAATTGGCAAAACCAATCTACCTTTTTTATTTATATACTCAATGATCTGAACAAGCTCATCTAAACAAAATGTAGAGGAAGCATAGTTTCTAGAGAAAATAGTGATAGCCATTCTAGACTCTTGGATTGCTTTGAGAAGTGACGGTGTAATCTTTTCTCCTTTTCTAAGCCTTTCATTGTCTAGAAAGGTATGGATACCTTTTTGTTGTAAAGCCTCGTAGAGGTTTCTAGCAAAATCAAAGCGAGAATCTTCACCTCTAAAATTGAGAAAAACATCATAAGTCCATCCATATGGGAAGGAAGGGGAAAATGGTGATTCCCCAGTCATGGTAGCAAGTAGAAATAGTGCTGCACCTGCCGGGGAATGAACAAAAATACCAGTGCTTTAAAGTTATAGTATCTATAATTTTATATAATATAAAATTTCTAACAAGTCATGGGTCATAAATTTCACAGACTCATGCGTGTTGAGCTAGTATATTGAGATTAAAAAAAATGCATCTCTAGAAGCGGACAAAAAAAATTGATTAGCAAAAGAAAATCAAGTTGAAAAAAAATCATAGCTTCATAGGGACAGAAAACCTGAGAAGTTATCTGGTAGAAGGAGAAGACCAAGTCAACAAAATTGTTTTCTTTTACAGTGATAAAGTCAACAAAATTCTTTTTGGTTTTTTCCCCAGTGATCAAGTCAAGAAAGTAAGTTGAAATAGAAATGCATTCACAAGAAAAAACGGGTAACTAAATAAATTAATCGAGATAACATACCCAATCTGAAGTCTGAAGACGTAAATAAGAAATTTTGCCCCACATTCTCGGCTCCCAAACATGAAACCAGTAGAAGATTGGGGTACTATTGAAGTAGAATGGTAGAAACAAACCTTTTGGCAGTCAATTCAGTGACGACAATGAGTCTTGTTTTTCACTAGCTCGGGCATTTAAGGATAGTATGACTTTTGTGCGTTATCTCTTTCTTTCACTACAGTTACGGTCCAGCACAGAGATATTCAAGCACAGTGCACTCCATCAACATATCAAGCAAGCAGCACGTATGGCCGAAAATCCTCGTCCACTCCCATTCCCTTACGGCTTACGGCTTTAGCTGAAGAAATTTGCCTTAACGTTCAACGTTTACCTTTCCGCGATTGGCCTCGACAGAAATTTTCTCCACAGGTGCAAATGGGCAATCCGGGTCTGTTATGATCTTTCTCATAAAATTACATCAAGAAATTAGTATATTTTACTTAAAAATTAATTCAAGGAAAAAAATTGAAAAAAATTATTACTGCTTCCATTCTTTAATATAAAATCATAATTCACTGTGTTTTTTATGTCTGATTTTTATCTTAATCTTAAATATAAAATCATAATTCACTCTGTCTATAATATTTATTTATTTTTTTTGAGATGGTTCTTTTAAAATAATAATTGTAATGAATAAACTTGACTAATAAAAATATTTCTAGAAAGAAAAACGTCTAATCATTACAAATAACTAACTTAATTTATTTTCTTTTTATATTTAAGAACCTAAGTAGTATTTGATTTTTCTTTTTGTAACTTGATTTTACCAGTCTCTAAATATAATTTAATTCTTATAATTTTAACTCAATTGATATCCAATTTAGATATAACTCAATTCTTATAATTTTAATCATTTAAAATGATAATTCTAATGCTCTAAAAAATATTAAAATGAAAAATGCATATTTGAATTTGGAACCAACCATGACAAAGCCAAACTTTAAGAACAGCCTTTAAATTCTCAATTCTTAAAGCTTTAATAAGTAGTTTTTTTTTGGCTTATTTTATCCTTCCCCTCTTCCTTTGTCTTGTAAAGATGACAAGTTTTCATAAGCTATTATTTATGAATTTGGATCATTCATTTTAAGAATCTCGTTATTGATGTATTGAACTTCCCAATTGTAAGTGGGGTCTCCACACTTTCATAACTACCTAAACTTAGAAGTTGAGGTGCTAAAAGAACAATTCCAAGGCTAGCTAGCAATTTGATCCTTCGGCAGTATGTGAGTACTGTCTGTTGAGTTGGTGGTCTTATCCCACCATAACTGTTTGGATTCATGGAAGATCGATCTAATAATTCAAGAACAGCTTCCTGCCAACAATTTATGAATCCAATATCTGACAAGGTGTCTTTCTCTATACAAATTACACCCAACAAAGTTATTGAACAAATTTAGATGAACAAAGTAAGACAAACAAACATCCATACAATGTTTCTTAGCATTTACTTCTTAGTAACAGCGTAGCATTTTCCTTCTGATTCTTCATTTCTCATCCAAGAGGGACAGAGAAGAGAACGAGTGAGAGGAGGTGGGACCCATATTGATAGATCTCTCCCGTCCCTCTTCCTAATATTATTTTCTATTCCAGTGACTGAATGAGATTCAGCAATGGGTTTGGATAAAAGGGACATATCTGCATTGTTGTTACTGTCTCCACTGACTTTGAAATCCATGTCAGACCACTTCATTCTAGGCAGGACTGACTCAGTAAAACTGTCTGGATTCATGGAAGATCCTTTCGACAACTCCGATACTGCTTCTTGGCAAAGATTTATGAATCGAATATCTTCCATTTTGGACTTTTGCTTGTACACATATGCTCCACTCCATTTTGCCTTTGATATACAATATATTTTACCCAAAACCATTGGATCGGAGCAATTTATGTAACTCAAGACACAGGATATCTCCACATGGTTCCATCCCCGCTCTGAAACTACACTTCTCAGTTTATCCTCGAGAACAAACCGCCGCAAATCAAACAAAAAGACGTGTGGTGTTGTAAGGGATGACAAAATTGTTTGCCCTTCGGGAAACCCAACATCTGTGCCATTAACTCGGACGTCGATAAGCATTTTTGGAGGTGCGTGCCATGGGTCCTCTATTGATGCACCAAAACATACGGCAATGTTTGGGAATTCCTTTTGGAACCAGAAAGACAATGAATGTCCCTCAACATAGTGGTCAAACCATTCTAGGGTCTTATCTTCTTCTAATATGAATTTCAAGCCATCAACCTCATGTAAAGCCTGCTGCAAAAAAGATCAAGAACAAAGTTACTTCTAATATTAATGTTTATATGGAGGAAGAATTTGAGAAAACTATCTATAGAGTAGTGAGTCTTCTTTTTAAGTAGTTCCTACAATAGAAGCACTAGATCAAGAAAGGACAATTTATCTTTTATTGTTATTATTATTTTGGTTCGTTCAAGTGTCATGTCAGTTTTTATCAAATAACATCATTTCATTACGTGCGTGCTGGCACCAGCTTCTTTTTAAAGTAGTTCAGGATTCATCATATGGACGCAATTAAAAGAGTGAAAGAGAGAGACTAACCTGACGCAGTAAAGTGCTACGAGACTCTAAGCTCAAGTGTGAGTCCCAATCAAGGTTCATCGCTGACAATTCTCTTTGGTTCGGTGGAACAACTCCAATTTTTTCAATACTTCTACAAAATGAAAGTTCTAGTTTTTCTAATTTAACAAGGTTTTTGAATGACAAAGGCAATTCTTCTATGCCACTATCATCCAAACAGACATCTTTGATATTTTCCATCGTTCCTAATATTTCTGGGAATCTTGTGAGGCTGGAGCACCAAGAAAGGTCGAGAAACTCTAGAGATGTTAACTTGATACTTGGAAAGGTCTTGAGCTTCCTGCAGTGTTTAACACTCAACCTTTTAAGCTTACCAAGAAATCCAATGGACACATGAACCTCAATTAACTTGTTGCAGCATTCCAAACACAATTCCCTCAAATCTGGGACTGTAGATAAGTCAGAAACCCGTCTTAAAAATTTGCAACCTCTGAAATTCATCACACTCAAAGACTAAAACTTCTGCGAGACAAGATCAAAAACAACTGAGTCTTAATAAGCTGTAAGAACATCATAAAACATTAAAAAACACAAAATACTTATAATGACAACAGTCATTGCATGAACAAATTTTGATGTGCTCTTGCTTCATAATAAAGAAAAATAATGATCAAAAGGGTCAATACTCTGCATGCGTTGAGTAGCACATCCGGTTGCAGGAAAGTTTCCGGCATTTTGAGGATAATTAGCTCCTTGGGGTTAAAATCAGACGGTAAAGATGGACAAGGATATCCCTTCCAATCCAACACTCTTAAACTGTTGGGGAGATGCGTGGGTCCTGTAGAAAACTGTGCATTTCTGATGATAAGTATCTTAAGATTGGGCATCCTTTTGAAGGCATTTCCACTCCAATCAATCACTATATCTCCAGGCATGTCTAGATTTATGGCTTCAATCTTCCCAGAACCCTTTCATACTAGGTAAGAGAGTAAACGAGAAAATCTGTCAGATGTATAACGAATTGGTATTAATTTCAATAAGGAAACAATAAATCATGACCTACAAATAAAAGGACTAATACTAGGTTAGTCAAATAGTCAATGAATGGGAAGAGGAAAAAGGGGGAGAAAGACAGCTATGTGTGCTCTCCAAGATCCCTCAGGTACGGGATTATAGCCTAGAGAAAACTAGAGAACACTTTGATCATAAACATTAATAATAAGAAAGAAATATATGTACAAAACACTCTAACCTTGTTTTCTTCTAAAACATGGAGAATGTCCTTATGAAGCCATAACCTAGTGCGCTTGCCAGGCTCATATGATGATTTCTGTCGCAGAATTTCTTTACCCATGGCTTGAATCAAATCATGCATGGTCACCTTACCATGATTAATCTTTATCAGACATTTATCAATCAACACTTTAACACCATAATCTGGGCATATACGGCGTGCAAACAAAGCGCTTCTAACATATTCAAAACTGTCACCTTTAAAGCAACAAGCAATGCCAAGAAAATTTTCTTGCTCATATTCCTCCAAAGCATCATAGCTTACCTTCAGAATTTGTTGGATCTCTTTAATTGGAATACTATGTTCTAATGCGGAATTCCAATAATTTATTTCTCTACTGAACAAATCGGAACCAATAACTTCCAAAGCCAATGGAAGACCACACGCATAGAATACCGCATGGTTTAAAATGTCCATGTAACTTGCATCAACTCTACTCTGTTTAAAGGCATGCCATTTAAGCAATTCAAGACCTTCTTCTCTATTTAAAAAGTCTACCTCATAAATTCTTTTAACACCATGGCTTACTAGCAAATGCTTATCCCTTGTTGTTACAATGATTCTGCTACCAGAACCGAACCAATCAGGTCCCCCAGCAATTGCTTGTAATTGCTTTAGCTCATCAACATCATCAAGAACAAGAAGAACCTTCTTTTTGTGGAGCCTATGCTTTATTATTGGAATTCCTTGATTAACATCTCTTAATTTAACGTCTTCCTCCAGCATTTCAGAAAGAAGTATTTCCTGGAGATACACTAGGCCATGATTAATTGAATTTTCTCTGACATCAGCAAGAAAACAAAACCCTTCAAATGAGTCCACAATCAAACCGCATACTGCTCGAGCAATTGTTGATTTTCCTATTCCACCGGTGCCACATATTCCTACCATTTGGACCCCTTCACTAGATTCAACATCGAGAAGAGAATTTACTTTTTGCACTCGATACTCAAGTCCAACTGGATAATCAGCAACATGTAAAGGCTTTCGGTTGATTCTCCTAGTGACCTCTTTAACAATCGCTTTGATCAAAGCATATTCGTATTGATACCTGCACCGATAACAAATTTTTTGAAAAAATCAAACTAAGTGCATGTGCATCAAATCAATCTTGTGCTCATGTCACATCATAGATTTATACCAATTGCATCGAAATAGGCACTCAGAGACAAAACATCTCAATGTAAGATTCAAACACTTTAGATTGTGCAATGTTCATGATTCTAGGCCTCAATTAGTTGTTTATAGTATATGTTTGTAAGTATATGCATATGTATGTACAAGAATGATTATCAAATAAACGAAGAGCAAATATATTATTAGCCAAAATCAATTCATGCTCTGTTTTCATTTTTCTGTCAAGACACATAAGAGCTACAGAAAATAATATAGCATTTCAAACTTTTGAAAGTCAAAATTTGTGTTGCAGCCTTCTTAGATTTTAATTTGGTAGGAACAATCAATATCAAATAAACAAATAAATGATGCAAAGCAACGAGATGCAACGTACTTACGTACCCAGGTTTGAAATGGAAACCCGAGAGAGTAGCAGCATCTTGTAGAGCCGAGCTCCATTTTTGCACCTTCTCCTTGTCATTTTTAAACCTCCTTCCATGCTGAGCAAATACTTCTCCATTATTTTTTCTTTGATGGCGTACTTCTGATGGATCTACGTCATAAAAAATGGGCAAAACCAATCTACCTTTTTTATTTATATGCTCAAGGATGTGAACAAGCTCATCTAAACAAAACGTAGAAGAAGCATAGTTTTTAGAGAAAATAGTGATTGCCATTCTAGACTTTTGGATTGCTTTAAGAAGTGATGGTGTAATCTTTTCTCCTTTTCTAAGCCTTTCATTGTCTAGAAAAGTATGGATAGCCTTTTGTTGTAAAGCCTCGTAGAGGTTTCGAGCAAAACCAAAGCGAGTATCTTCACCTCGGAAATTGAGAAAGACATCATAAGTCCACCCATAGGAGAACGAAGAGGAAAATGGTGATTGCTGAGGCATCGTAGCCGGCAGAAATGATCCTCGACCTGCCGGGGAAAGAACACAAATAGCAGTGCTTTAAAGTTGTAATATCTTTTTCCTTCCCAACTGTATCGATATTTTTGTATGGCATAGAAATTCTAACAAATCATGACTCATAAATTTCTAAGACTCGTGTGTTACGCTAGTATATCAATCTGTCAAAGCGGACCAACGAAATGATTAGCAATAGAAAATCAAGTCGACAAAATCCTACTTTCATCAGCACAGAATCTGAGGACTTATCTAGTAGAACGAGAAGATCAAGTCAACAAGATGGTTTTTCTCTTAATTTTCCAATGATCAAGTCAACAGAATAGGTATGAAATAGAAACGCATTCACAAGGAAATGACATGTAACAAAATAAAGTAGTCTAGATTATATCCCCCCTCCGAAGTCCGAAGACGTAAATAAGAAATTTTGCCCCAAATTCTCGGCTACCAAACATTAAACCAGTAGGAGATTGGGATAGTATTGAAGTAGAATGGTAGAAACCTTTTGGCGTTGGATGAACATGCAGTCAATTCAGTGACGACAATGAGTTTTGATTTCTCGGGCATTTAAGCATAGTCTGACTTTTTTGCATTTTCTATTTCTTTCATATCAACTACGGTCCGACACGGAAAGGTGACTGCATCCAGGAGGCATCTCATCAAACATCATCTGGCCAACCAATCTGCCAAACTAATGTCTTGTCTTTGTGCATAATGTTGACGTCCCAGTCCAGCAACTGTAAACTCCTAACTTCACTGACCAGATCAAAAGAAGAGGGGGGAAAACGCAAAAAACGAGAAGTGTGCATCTGAATGTGTGAGATTGTAATCTTCACTTGAATCAGCAAGAAACTTAGGACAGCAAGGGGGAGAATATGTAGAATTCAATTGCATTCAGATTCTCACCATGCCATCCATATCAAGCAGCATTTGCGACCGAAAATCCTCGTCCACTTCCATTTCCTTATGGCTCTGGTTCAAGAAATTTTGCCTTGGACGTTCCACGTTGACCTTTCCGTGATGGGACTTGACAGAAATTTTCTCCTCAGATGCAAAGGAGCAATATGACTATGGAGTCCTTTTATGATCATTTGACTTGCAAATGTTGAATGTTGATAAAAGAGACGTGCACTCATCAATTATTACATGCAAATATTTAAATCATTAATTAATGTCAAGTTACCTCAATTTTTATATTTAAAAAGTTTAAATTTAATCTGAGATGTTAATTCGTCACATTAAGCCTCCTCCCAACTGCCATTAATTTTATGTTAAGACAGTGACGACAGATTAATAAGAACAACATAGCTTTAACATTTCACTTTGATACAGCAAGAAGTTAACAACAAAGTCTTGTTCCATTACATGTCATTTTGATGAGTTAATAATTTTATGATAATTATATATATTTTTTACTCCGGTCCTTAATATAGAATCTGATTGTGGAGTTGATTTTGATCATAAATATAAGACCTACTCCTCTGGTCCTTAATATAAGATCCAATTCTTGAGTTGGTTTTGATCCTAAATATAATACCCATTTCTCATATTTATCAATTTTCTCTAAATTACCCCTATGGATACTCCCTCAACCATATTCAAGTACAAGAGGGAGAAGGAGTATTAAGAAAGATGATTATGGTGTTTTAGGAAAAATGTGTCACTTTTCTTATAATTAACTAACTTACCTAACTTCCTTAATCTAATCAAATTAGTTAAATGGGTCTTATATTAAGGACTGGAGGAGTATTTCTTATATTTATCAATTTTTTCTAAATTATCCCTATAAATACTCCCTCATCTATTACCAAGTAAAAGAGAGAGAGAATATATTAAGAAAGATGATTATGCTGTTTTAGGAGAAAAAAAAGCATGTTATATTTTTTATAATTAACTAACTTACCTAACTTTTTTTTTAATCTAATCAAATCAGTTAAATAGGTCTTATACTAAGAATCGAGAGAATATATCAGAGTTAAAATGTCAATTTTATTATTTAAAAAAAAAAAAACGCTAGGTCCTTTTGCATCTCCTCGCGGCAGCCTAACATGAATAAAAATTCTTGTGCTTGCTCCGTGGCCTACAATTTACCCTACAAACTAGATATTCTCTCTCTCTCTATATATGTGTGTGTACATATATACTACCTCCGGTCCTTATTATAAGATCCCGTTTGACTTTTTGTTTGGTCCTAATTATAAGACCCCAATCCATTTTGTCTCTCATATTTATGTATTTTTTTCCACGATAATCCTTTTAATAATGATAGTTCTAGCCAATATACTTAATTAGCAAGGATATTTTAGGAATGACAACACTTATTTATTACAAATAACTAACTTAACTTACTTCCTTAATCTCCTCAAATAAGCCAACTGGGTCTTATAATTAGGACCGGAGGTAGTATTTATTTAGGATGGCAGGTAGCAGTTAACACTTAACACTGGCTCTACGCATTGTAACGTCAACACCAACATGAAACTTTTACTTCTTCTTACGCTACTTTGGTCCTTAATATTATACTATTTCAGATTATTAATATAAAAATTAGTTGACTAATTTAAATAGATTATAAAAAATTACTTAATAAATAAGTATTGTTTTTCTTAAAATACTATTACTAATCATTTGTATGAGTTAAAACTACTATATAATAAAACCTTTAACATATATAATTATTACAAAGGCTACTTTAAAAAAAACAGATAAATATGAGAGACAAAATGAATTAAGAATTTATACTTAACATTAAATTGTGACAATAACAAAGAATTTTTTTTCTTTTTTGGTGCGAATAATAGCTTTCACCGCGGGGTAGAGAATTTACTTTTTGCACTCGATGCTCAAGTCCAACTGGATAATCAGCAATGTGCAAAGGCTTGCAGTTAGTTCTCCTGGTGACTTCTTTAACAATCGTTTTGATAAAAGCATATTCATATTGATCCCTGCACCAATACCAAATTTTTTGGAAAATGCAGACTAACTGCTTTAAATCAATCTTGTGGTTATATCACAACATAGATTCATATTAAATGCATCAAAACATTCAGACGCAAAACACCTGAATATAAGATTCAAACACTTTAGATTTGCAAATGGTCATGATTTTAGGCCTCAGTTATAATATATGTATGTAAGTACGTATAAACGTATTTAATCTACACTACTAATATCACACACCATACACCATGTTATAAGAACAGTCCACGAAACAGAACATAGAAATTTGGACACAACTACTATAACCATCCTAACTAATGGCTCAGTCAAAGCTTCCAAGAACTCGAGATAAAAAGATACAATCGTCAATTTCCAACAGCAAGAGCAAAACTGTAGCTAAAAGCCAAGGCGAAGAGATATGCTATAGGAGCCAACTCCAAAATGGCCAAGCACAAACATTTAATGAAACCACCCTTGTTAACATTAACACGGAACCACAAACACAGCTGTAGATCTATCAGCATGGCATGGGCAAGTAGTAAACCTTCTGAAATACCCTCACAGCGTAACGCTACGTAATGAAAAATCCATCAACACTGTCTCACCATAACTGTTTTCATTCATGGAAGATCAATCTACTAATTCAGGAACAGCTTCCAGGTTACAACTTCTAAATAGAATATCTTACACTGGGTATCCAAAGTGCATCCAACAGAGTTATTGAACAAATTTAGATGAACCAAGTGACAAAACAAACATTCATGCAGTGTTTCCTAGCATTTAATTCTTAGTAACAGCTTGGCATTTTCCTTCTCATTCATCCTTACTTATCCATGAGGTACAGTGAACAGAAGCAATTGAAGGAGGTGGGATCCATATTGATAGATCTCTCCCGTCCCTCTTTCTTTTTCTCAATTCAGTAATGGGTTTGGATGAAAGGGACGCGACTGCATTATTGCTGACTTTGACATTGATGTATTGACACTTCATTCTACGCAGGGTTAGCTCAGCAAAACTGTCTGGATTCATGGAAGATTCACTCAATAGCTCAGATACTGCTTCCTGGCTATGACTTATGAATCGAATATCTTCCATTCTGGATTTTTGCTTGTATACATATGCTCCGCTCCATTTTGCCCTTGCCATACCATATATTTCATCCAAGCCCCATGGATGGTAGCAATTTATGTAACCCAAGACACAGGATATCTCCACGTGGTTCCATCCACGCTCTGAAACTACACTTTCCAGTTTATCCTCAAGAATGAGCTGTCGCAAATCAAACATAAATATATGTGGTGTTGTAAGTGGCGCAAAAATTGTTTGTCCTTCTGGAAACCCAACATTTGTGCCATTAACTCGGGCGTCAATAAGCAGTGTTGGTGGTGTGTGCCATAGGTCCTCTATTAATGTACCAAAACATACAGCCATGTTTGGGAATTCCTTTTGGAAACAAAAAGATAATGAATGTCCCTCAACATAGTGGTCAAACCATGCTGGGGTCTGGTCTTCTTCTACTACGAATTTCAATCCATCAACTTCATGTAAAACCTGTTGCAAAACGGATCAAGAACAGAGTTATTTGTGAGATTATTGTTTGTGGGAGAAGAATTTGAGAGAACTATCTATGGAGTACAGAGTAACAAGTCTTCTCTTATTTCTCTACAACAAGCATATTAGCAATTCATAACATAAAAGAGTTACTGCAATAGAAACACTAGATCAAGAAAGGGCAATCAATATTTGAAATATGATTACATTTTTTTGTTCACGTGTGATGTCATTCTTTTCTTTTCCAGGTCATATCATTTCATTATGTGTGTATTGGCGCCAACTTCTTTTTAAAGTATTGCCTTCGGACCTTAATATAAGATCTTGTTTGACTTTTATTTTGGTTCTAAATATAAGATTTCAATCCACATTGTCTCTCGTATTTATCTATTTTTTTCCAAGATAGTCCTTCTAATAATAATTCTAATCCATACATTTGATTGGCAAGGAAATTTAGTAAAAACAATACTTATTTATTACAAATAACTAACTTAACTTATTTTTTTAATCTACTCAAATTAATCAACTAGTTCTTATATTTAAGACCGGAGGTGGTATTTCAAAATTCACCATATAGATGCAATGAAAAGAGTGAAAGAGAGACTAACCTGATGCAGTAAAATGGTACGAGACTCTACGCTCAAATGTGAGTACCAATCAAGGTTTATTGCTGACAGTTCTCTTAGGTTTGGTGGAATACCTCTAATTTTTTCAATACTTCTACAAAATGAAAGTTCTAGTTTTTCTAATTTAATAAGGTTTTTGAATGACAAAGGCAATTCTTCTATACCACTATCATCCAAACAGACATCTTTGATATTTTCCATCTTTCCTAATATTTCTGGGAATCTTGTGAGGCTGGAGCACCCAGAAAGGTCAAGAAACTCTAGGGATGTTAACTTGATACTTGGAAAGGTCTTGAGCTTCCTGCAGTGTTTAACACTCAACCTTTTAAGTTTACCAAGAAATCCAATGGACATGTGAACTTCAGTTAACTTGTTGCAGCCTTCCAAACACAATTCCCTCAAATCTGGGGCAGCAGATAAGTCAGAAACTCGTCTTAAATATTTGCAACCTCTGAAATTGATGACGCTCAAAGACTGAAACTTCTGCAAGACAGGATTTAAAAAAAGAAAAACAACAATGTCGTAATAAATTGTGAGAACATCACAAAACATTAAAATTAATACTGACACCCCTCATATCAAGGAACAAAATTTGAAGTGTTCTTGCTTCATAGTAAAAGAAAATAATGATGAAAAGTGCCAATACTCTACATGCCTTGAGTAGTACATCACTTTTGAGGAAACTTTCTTGCAATTTGAGGATAATTAGCTCCCTCGGGTTAAAGTCAGACGGTAAACATGGACAAGGATATCCCTTCCAGTCCAACACTCTTAAACTGTTGGGGAGATGCTTGGGGCCAGCAGAAAACTGTGCATTTCTGATTATAAGTATCTTTAGATTTGGCATCTTTTTGAAGGCCTTTCCACTCCATTCAATCATCACATCTCCAGGCATGTCTAGATTTATGGCTTCAATCTTCCCAGAACCCTTCCACACCAAGCAACAGAGTAAACCAGAAAATTTGTCAGATGTATTACGGATTGGTGTAAAATTCAACAACAATATATTAGATCATAGCGCACAAGTAAAAAAAGAAGAAGAAGAAGAAGAAGAAGAAGAATACTAGGTTAGTCAAGAAATAGGAAGAGGAAAAGGGGGAAAAGCTAGAATAGATTAAGGAATACTAGAGAACACTATGATCATAGAAGTAATAATGTGAAAAATAGATATGTACTAGTCACTCTCACCTTGTTCTCTTCTAAAACGTGAAGGATGTCTTTATGAAACCATAACCTAGTGCGCTTTCCAGGCTCATATGGTGATTTGTGTCGCACAATTTCTTTACCCATGGCTTGAATCAAATCATGCATAGTCACCTTACCATGATTCATCTTTATCAGACACTTATCAATCAATACCTTAACACCATAATCTGGGCATATACCACGAGCATACAAAGCACTTCTTACATATTCAAAACTGTCACCTTTAAAGCAACAAGCAATGTCAAGAAAAATTTCCTGCTCGTATTCCTCCAGAGAATCATAGCTTACCTTCAGAATTTGTTGGATCTCTTTAATTGGAATACTATGATAACTTTCTAACGCAGAATCCCAATCATTTATTTCTCTACTGAACAAGCTGGAACCTATAACTTCCAACGCCAATGGAAGACCACCAGCATAGAGTACTACATTGTTTAAAACGTCCATGTAATTTGCATCAACACTATGTTGTTTAAAAGCATGCCATTTAAGCAATTCAAGACCTTCTTCTTTATTTAAACAGTCTACCTCATAAATTCTTTTCACACCATGGCTTACTAGCAAATGCTTATCCCTTGTTGTTAAAATGATTCTGCTACCAGAACCAAACCAATCAAGTCCTCCAGCAATTGCTTGTAATTGCTTTAGCTTATCAACATCATCAAGAACAAGAAGAACCTTCTTTTTTTGGAGCCTATGCTTTATTGTTGGAATTCCTTTATTAACATCTCTTAACTTGATGTCCTCCTCCAACAGTTCAGAAAGAAGCATTTCCTGGACATATGCTAGGCCATGATTAATTGAATTTTCTCTGACATCACCAAGAAAACAAAAGCCTTCGAATGAGTCCACAATCAAACTGCATACTGCTCGAGCAATTGTTGATTTTCCTATTCCACCAGTGCCACATATTCCTACCATTTGGACCCCTTCATTGGATTCAACATTTAGAAGAGAATTTACTTTTCGCACTCGATACTCAAGTCCAACTGGATAATCAGCGATGTGTAACGGCTTGCGGTTAATTCTCCTAGTGACCTCTTCAACAATCGCCTTAATCAGAGCGTATTCATATTGACATCTGCACCAATAACAAATTTTTCAGAAAATTCAAACCAAGTGCATCAAATCAATCTTGTGATTATGTCACAACATAGATTCATATAAATGCATCAAAACAAACGTTCAGACACAAAACATCTGAATATAAGATTCAAACACTTTAGATTTGCAAATGGTCATGATTTTAGGCCTCATTTATAATATATGTATGTAAGTACGTATAAACGTATTTATGTAAAAGACTGGCTATCAAATAAACTTAACGCAAATACATTAGCCAACGTAAATGCATGTTCTGTTTTCATCTTTCTTTTAAAACACACAAGAGCTAATAGGAAATTATATAGCACTTCAAACGTTGAAAGTCATAATTTGTGTTGTAGCCTCTCTTAGATGTTAATTTGGTAGTAATATATAAATATAATCAATATCAAATAAACAGATAAAGATGTAAAGCAAAAAAGAGAGGCAACTTACGAACTTACCCAGATTTGAAATGGAAACCCGATAGATTAGCAACATCCTGTAGAGCCTGCCTCCATTTTTGCACCTTCTCCTTGTCATTTCTAAGCCTCTTCTCATGCTGAGCAAATACTTCTCGATAATTTTTTCTTTGATGCCGTACTTCTGATGGATCCACGTCATAAAAAATGGGCAAAACCAATCTACCTTTTTTATTTATATGCTCAAGGATGTGAAAAAGCTCATCTAAACAAAACGTAGAGGAAGCATAGTTTCTAGAGAAAATAGTGATAGCCATTCTAGACTCTTGGATTGCTTTGAGAAGTGATGGTGTAATCTTTTCTCCTTTTCTGAGCCTTTCGTCGTCTAAAAAAGTATGGATACCTTTTTGTTGTAAAGCCTCGTAGAGGTTTCTAGCAAAACCAAAGCGAGTATCTTCACCTCGAAAATTGAGAAAAATATCATAAGTCCACCCATATGGGAAGGAAGGGGAAAATGGTGATTCCTCAGTCATGGTAGCAAGTAGAAATGGTGCTGCAGCCGCCGGGGAATGAACAAAAACACCAGTGCTTTAAAGTCATACTACCTGCTGTTTTAAGATACTCCTCCGATCTTTATTATAAGACCCAATTTGACTTTTTATTTGGTCCTAATTATAAGACCCAATTCATTTTGTCTCTTATATTTATGTATTTTTTTCCAAGATAATCCTTCTAATAATGATAGTTTTAGCCAATATACTTAATTAGCAAGGATATTTTAGGAATGACAACACTTATTTATTATAAATAACCAACTTAACTTACTTCCTTAATCTCCTCAAATAAGTCAATTGGGTCTTATAATTAGGACCGGAGGAGTATTATTTAACTTTTATTTTGATTTTAAATATAAGATTTCAATCCACATTATCTCTTATATTTATGTATTTTTTCCAAGTTAGTCCTTCTAATAATGGTAGTTCTAACCAATATACTTAATTAGCAAGGATAACACTTATTAATTATAAATAACTAAGTTAATTTCTTTTCCTAATTTTCTTAAATTAGTTAACTAGTTTTTATAATTAGGACGGAGTAGTAGTATCTATAGTTTTATATAATATAAAATTTCTAACAATTCATGGTTCATAAATTTCGCAGACTCATGCGCGTTGAGCTAGTAAGCGGACCAGGAACAAACCGTTTGGCATTCGATGAACATGCAGCCAATTCAGTGACGACAATGAATCAATTTCCCGGGCATTTAATGATAGTCTGACTTTGTGTGCATTATCTCTTTCTTTCATAACTGCTAAGGTCCCACACGGAGATATTCTGGCACCGTGCAGTCCATCTCCATATCAAGCAAGCAGCACGGATGTTAGAAAATCCTCCTCCACTCTCATTTCCTTCTTACGGCTTTGGTTGAAGAAATTTGCCTTAACATTCAACGTTAACCCTTCCGTGATTGGCCTTGACAGAAATGTTCTCCCCAGGTGCAAATGGGCAATCTGGCTATGGACTTCAGTTATGAATTATGATCTTTGTAGATAAAATTACATCGGGAAATTAACATTGACAAATTTAACTTAAAATATAATTCCAGGAGTCTAGAAAAATTGGAAAAATTATTATTTGGTTTTTACTGTTGTAGTTTGATTTTAACTAAGTTTCTAAATGCAATTTTACTCCTATAATTTTAACTTAATTGACATTTAATTAGGTGTAACTCACATTTTATAGTAGTTTTAATCAATCATTTAAAATGATAATCCCAATATTTTAAATAATATTAACATGAAAGAGCGCATTTGAATTTAGATATTATTCAGCCAACCATCACAAAGTCAAACTCCAAGAAAAGCTCCTAAATTCTCAATTCTGAAAGGTTTAATAATTAATATTTTGTTTATTTCATACTTTTCCCTCTTCCTTTCAAGTTTCTATTAACAATTATTTATGAATTTGGATAAATTCTTTTAAGAATTTCGTTATTGATAGTATTGAACTTATCAAACGGTGTTATAAATATTATAACTATGTGATGTGCATAACACCCAAACATGAGACTCTTAACTTTTCATCTAATGTTAAATGACATTACACCCTATACTTGTAACTCTTTGAGTTAGTCTTTAATGTTGGGGTCATATAAATAGAAAATGATGTACACATATTTTTGACAATAAAGTGAATGAGAATTCCTTATTTTATCCCCCAATATTCTCTTATATTCTCCATTTCTCTCATCTCTTATAACAAATTGTAAATATCTTCACACTTTGAGAGCTAGCCGAACTTAGCAGTTGAGTTGCTGAAGAACAATTTAGAAAACTTGCTAGCCATTAGAAAACAAGCGCGCCAACTCTATTGTGGCACGTTTAATACTTCTGCTGTATGTCAGTAGCAGCTGTTGAGTTGGTGATCTTATCTCACTATAACTGTTTGGATAATGGAAGATCGATCTAATAATTCAGGAACAGCTTCTTGGTTACAATTTATGAATCCAAAATCTTACGTTGTATCTCTCTCTACAAAATGTATTCAACAAAGTTATTGAACAAATTTAGATGAACCAAGTGACAAAACAAACATACAGTGTTTTCTTAACATTTTCATTCTTAGTAACAGCTGGGCATTTTCCTTCTGATTCATCCTTTCTCATCCAAGGGGGACGGACGGTGAAGAGAACGAGCGCAAGGAGATGGGACCCGTGTTGAAAGATCTCTCCCGTCCCTCTTCCTTTTTCTCAGTTCAGTAATGGGTTCGGGTAGAAGGGGCATGACTGCATTGTTGCTGCTGTTTTCCATGGCTTTACGTACGACTATTTCTTCAAATCTGTCGGGATTCATCGAAGATCCTTTCAATAACTCAGGTACTACTTCCTGGCTATGATTTACGAACCGAACATCTTCCATTCTGGATTTTTGCTTGTACACATATGCTGCACTCCATTTTGCCAGTGCTATACCACATATTCCATCCAAATCCATTACCGCCGGATGGTAGCACGTTGTGTAACTCAAGACAAAGGATATCTCCACGTGGTTCCACCCACACTCTGAAACTGCCCTTTTCAGTTTATCCTCAAGAACAAACGGTCGCAAATCAAACAAAAAGACATGTGGCGTTGTAAGTGGTGCAAAGATTGTTTGCCCTTCTGGAAATCCAACATCTGTGCCATTAACTCGGACGTCAATGAGCATTTTTGGTGGCGAGTGCCACACGTCCTCTATCAATGCACCAAAACATACAGCCATGTTAGGGAATTCCTTTTGGAACGAAAAAGACAATGAGTGTCCCTCAACATAGTGGTCAAACCATTCTGGGGTCTTATCTTCTTCTACTATGAATTTCAAGCCATCAACCTCATGTAAAGCCTGTTGCAAAACGGATCAAGAACAAAGTTATTTCTAAGATTAATGTTTGAGGAAGAAGAATTTAAGAGAACTATCTATAGAGTACACAGTAACGAGTATTTTCTTATTTCTTTACAAGCAAATCACAAATTCATACCATGAAGTAGTTCCAACAATAGAAAACACTAGATCAAGAAAGGGCATAAATATTTGAAATATGATTACATTTTGGTTTTGTTCAAGTGTCATGTCGTTTTTTATCAAATGATAACCATCTCATTATGTGCGTGTTGTCACCACTTCTGTATAAGGAGTGCATGATTCATCATATGGATACTATTAAAAGAGTGGAAGAAAGTGACTAACCTGACATAGTAAAATGTGACGAGACTCTGAGCTCAAGTGTGAGTACCAATCAAGGTTTATTGCTGACAATTCTTTTAGCTTCGGTGGAATACCTCCAACTTTTTCTATACTTCTACAAAATGAAAGTTTCAATTTTTCTAAACTAACTAGGTTTTTGAATGACAAAGGCAATTCTTCTATGCCACTATGGCCCAAACAGACCTCTTTGATATTTCCCATCGTTCCTAATATTTCTGGGAATCTTGTGAGGCTGGAGCACCCAGAAAGGTCGAGAAACTCTAGGGATGTTAACTTGATGCTTGGAAAGGCCTTGAGCTTCTTACAGTGTTTAACACTCAACCTTTTAAGTTTACCAAGAAATCCAATGGACACGTGAATTTCAGTTAACTTTTTGCAGCCTTCCAAACACAATTCCCTCAAATCTGGCACTGCAGATAAGTCAGAAACTTGTCTTAAATATTTGCAGCCTCTGAAATTCATCAAACTCAAAGATTGAAACTTCTGCAAAACAGGATTAAAAAACAACTACGTCATAATAAGTTGTAAGAACATAACAAAACATTAAAAAAAAACGAAAGAAAAGACAAATTCTAATACTGACACTACTAATAGCATGGAACAAAATTTGAAGTGTTCTTGCTTCATAGTAAAACAAAATAATGATGAAAAGTGCCAATACTCTGCATGCCTTGAGTAGTACATCACGTTTGAGGAAACTTTCTGGCATTTTGAGGATAATTAGCTCCCGGGGGTTGAAGTCAGGCGGTAAAGTTGGACAAGGATATCCCTTCCAGTCCAACACTCTTAAACTGTTGGGGAGATACTTGGGGCCAGTAGAAAACTGTGCATTTCTGATAATAAGTATCTTAAGATTTGGCATCTTTTTGAAGGCCTTTCCACTCCAATCAATCACCATATCTCCAGGCATGTCTAGATTTATGGCTTCAATCTTCCCAGAACCCTTCCACACCAAGTAACAGAGTAAACCAGAAAATCTGTCAGATGTATTACAAATTGGAATAAAATTCAACAAAAATATATTAAATCATAATGCACAAGTAAAAAGAAATAATACTAGGTTGGTCGAGAAATGAGAAGAGGAAAAAGTGGGGAAAAGCTACAATAGATTAGGGAAAACTAGAGAACACTATGATCATAAAAATAATAATATGAAAAATATACATGTACAAATGACTCTCACCTTGTTTTCTTCCAACACATTAAGAATGTCTTTATGAAACCATAACCTAGTGCGCTTTCCAGGCTCATATAGTGACTTCTGCCGCACAATTTCTTTACCCATGGCTTGAATCAAATCATGCATAGTCACCTTACCATGATTAATCTTTATCAGACACTTATCAATCAATACCTTAACACCATAATCTGGGCATATACCACGTGCGTACAAAGCACTTCTTACATATTCAAAACTGTCACCTTTAAAGCAACAAGCAATGTCAAGAAAAATTTCCTGCTCGTATTCCTCCAAAGCATCATAGCTTACCTTCAAGATTTGTTGGATCTCTTTAATTGGCATACTATGATAACTTTCTAATGCGGAATTCCAATCATTTGTTTCTCTACCGAACAAGTTGGAACCTATAACTTCCAACGCCAATGGAAGACCACCAGCATAGAGTACGACATTGTTTAAAACGTCCATGTAACTTGCATCAACACTACTTCGTTTAAAAGCAAGCCATTTAAGCAATTCAAGACCTTCTTCTTTATTTAAACAGTCTACCTCATAAATTCTTTCAACACCATGGCTTACTAGCAAATGCTTATCCCTTGTTGTTAAAATAATTCTACTACCAGAACCGAACCAATCAAGTCCTCCAGCAATTGCTTGTAATTGCTTTAGCTTATCAACATCATCAAGAACAAGAAGAACCTTCTTTTTGTGGAGCCTATGCTTTATTATTGGAATTCCTTTATTAACATCTCTTAACTTTATGTCCTCCTCCAACAGTTCAGAAAGAAGCATTTCCTGGACATATGCTAGGCCATGATTAATTGAATTTTCTCTCACATCAGCAAGAAAACAAAAGCCTTCGAATGAGTCCACAATCGAGCTGCATACTGCTCGAGCAATTGTTGATTTTCCTATTCCACCAGTGCCACATATTCCTACTATTTGGACCCCTTCATTAGATTCAACATTTAGAAGAGAATTTACCTTTCGCACTCGATACTCAAGTCCAACCGGAAAATTGGCAATGTGTAAAGGCTTGCGGTTGATTCTCCTAGTGACCTCTTTAACAATCGCTTTGATAAAAGCATATTCATATTGACATCTGCACCAATAACAATTTTGTTTTGGAAAATTCAAACCAAGTGCTTTAAATCAGTCTTGTGATTATCTATCAACATAGATTCACACCAACTTCATCAAAACATATACCCAGACACAAGACAGCCCAATATAAGGTTCAAACACTTCACATTTTGCTATGCTCATGATTGTTGGCCTTATTTAGTTATTTGTAGTATATGCATGTAAGCACGTCTAAGTGTATGTATGTAGAAGAGTGACTATCAAATAAACTAAATGGATACACATTAGCCAAAATAAATGCATGTTCTGTTTTCATTTTTCTTTTAAGACGCATAAGAGCTAATAGGAAACAATAAAGCCCTTCAAACTTTGAAAGTCATAATTTGTGTTGTAGCCTCTCTTAGATGCTAATTTACTAGTAACAAATAACAATCAGTATCGAAAAAAGAAATAAAAGATGTAAAACAAAAGAGGCAATGTACTAACATACCCAGGTTTGAAATGGAAACCCGAGAGATTAGCAGCATCTTGTAGAGCCCGCCTCCATTTTTGCACCTTCTCCTTGTCATTTTTAAACCTCCTCTCATGCTGAACAAATGGTTCTCTGTAACTTTTTCTTTGACGTCGTACTTCTGATGGATCCACGTTATAAAAAATGGGCAGAACCAATCTATCTTTTTTATTTATATGCTCAAGGATCTGAACAAGCTCATCTAAACAAAATGTAGAGGAAGCATAGTTTCTAGAGAAAATAGAGATAGCCATTCTAGACTCCTGGATTGCTTTGAGAAGTGACGGTGTAATCTTTTCTCCTTTTCTAAGCCTTTCGTTGTCTAAAAAAGTACGGATACCCTTTTGCTGCAAGGCCTCGTAGAGGTTTCTGGCAAAATCAAAGCGAGTATCTTCACCTCTAAAATTGAGAAAGACATCATAAGTCCACCCATGAGAGAAGGAAGAGGAAAATGGTGGTTGCTCAGCCATGGTAGCTGGTAGAAATGATCCGCGACCTGGCGGGGAATGAACAAAAATACCAGTGCCTTAATTCTAATACCTATATATTTTATATAACATAATAATTCTAACAAATCATGACATGGATCAGAGTCGTAACTTTCTCAGAATAGTGTGTTACGCTAGTATATTATGATTAAAGAAAAAAGGAATCTCGGGAAGAAGACCAAAAAAACTGTTAGCAAAAGAAAATCAAGTCGACAAAATCCTGTTTTCATCAGGACAGAAAACCTGAGAAGTTATCTTCTAGACAAGAAGATCAAGTCAACAAAATGGTTTTATGCCAAAATTAGGAAGAAACGTGAAAAGGGAAAGTTACCTCTCGTTAGTCAGAGTTTTGACTTGGAAGAATTCTACTCCTTTGTGAAAGACATCGGGAACTAGGCTTGCCGTGGCAGGGACTATGGGGTTATGCTGGGGATTGTGAATGGGTCTTTAAAAATCGTCCCTTGGTCCCCAGAGAGAGCTCAGAGAGGTGTGAAGTATTTTGAAAGAGTAGCGAGGATTGGGAGAGTTGTGGCCTCTCGAGAGCCAAGAGTCATTGTGTTGTGTCTCTCGTGCTGTTCTTATTAGTTTGTAATCATGATTTGATTGTAGTTTATGTGTCTGGGTCTAAGAATCATTTCCTTTGTTTTGCAGTAATAGTATCATCCATCTTGATCGGGTTAGTTCTGTGATCAGCTCTGTTCAGGGGAGGGTCATAACATTTTCTTTTTCGATGATCAAGTCAACAAAATGGTTTCTTTTTTCAATGATCAAGTCAACAAAATAAGCGTGAAATAGAAATGCATTCACAAGGAAACGACACGTGACAAAATAAATTAGTCAGGATTAGATGCCCAATCTGAGGTGTGAAGACGTAAATATGCTGCCCCAAATTCTCGGCCGCCAAACATGAAACCAGTAGAAGACTTAATGGCAGGAATTAGAGCCGGTAATATGGGTTGGACCCGTGGATTGAACCTGCCAACCCGTCAAAAGAGGCGGGTTAGGGTTGGCCTTTGGTCAACCCGTCACCACCTGAAAAATATGAGCCCACACCGCCGTAACCCGAGCCCGCCATGGGTCAGCCCTCAACCCGCCAACCCACCTAATTTTTTTTTAATTTTTATATATATTAAAATATTAAGAGGTAGGCTGAAAAGGTAAGAAAAATTTATGTTTGAACTTGTATTTTATCATGTTTGGAGTTTAAACTTTGGATAATTGTATATTTTGTGTTTTAATATGTTATAATTTTGTGTAAATGCTTGGAATACTTTAAATTATTTCTGATTTTTTTAATTTTTGATTATTTATAAGAAATTTTTTTAAAAAAAAAATCTGGCGGGTTGGTGGGTTGACCCGCCAACCCACCTTGGTGGGTTAGGGTTGGCAGAATACCAACCGCCAAAAAACGGGCCTTTTGAGCCCGACCCAAATAACCCACCACCCGTGACGGGCCAACCCGCAACTCACGGGTTGACCCGTTTTATTAGCTCTAACTATTTGGATTCATGGAAGATCGATCTAATGATTCAAGAATAGTTTCCTGGCTACAATTTAAGAATCCAATATCTTACAAGGTTATTGAACAAATTTAGATGAACAAAATAAGACAAACAAACATCCATGCAATGTTTCTTAGCATTTAATTCTTAGCAACAGCTTAGCATTTTCCTTCTGATTCATCATTTCTCATCCAAGAGGGATGGAGAAGAGAACGAGTGGGACGACGTGGGACCCGTATTGATAGATCTCTCCCGTCCCTCTTCCTAATATTATTCTCTATTCCAGTGACTGAATGAGATTCAGCAATGGGTTTGGATAAAAGGGACATATCTGCATTTTTGCTACTGTCTCCACTGACTTTGAAATCCATGTCAGACCACTTCATTCTAGGCAGGACTGACTCAGTAAAACTGTCAGGATTCGTGGAAGATCCTTTCGACAACTCCGATACAGCTTCTTGGCAATGATTTATGAATCGAATATCTTCCATTCTGGACTTTTGCTTGTACACATATGCTCCACTCCATTTTGCCTTTGATATACCATATATTTTACCCAAAACCATTGGACCGGAGCAATCTATGTAACTCCAGACACAGGATATCTCCACGTAGCTCCATCCACTCTCTAAAACTACACTTCTCAGTTTATCCTCCAGAACAAACCGCCGCAAATCAAACAAAAAGATATGTGGTGTTGTAAGTGATGACAAAATTGTTTCCCCTTCTGGAAATCCAACATCTGTGCCATTAACTCGGACGTCGATAAGCATTTTTAGAGGTGCGTGCCATAGGTCCTCTATTAATGCACCAAAACATACGGCCATGATTGGGAATTCCTTTTGGAACCAGAAAGACAATGAATGTCCCTCAACATAGTGGTCAAACCATTCTGGGGTCTTATCTTCTTCCACTATGAATTTCAAGCCATCAACCTCATGTAAAGCCTGTTGCAAAAAAGATCAAGAACAAAGTTACTTCTAATATTAATGTTTATATGGAGGAAGAATTTAAGACAACTATCTATAGAGTACAGAGTAACGAGTCTTCTGTTTAAGTAGTTCCCACAATTGAAGCACTAGATCAAGAAAGGACAATCTATCTTTGATATCTTTTTTTTTTTTTTGGTTTGTTCAGAGGTCATGTCATTTTTTATCAAATAACATCATTTCATTATGTGCGTGCTGGCACCAACTTCTTTGTAAAGTAGTTCATGATTCATCACATAGACGCAATTAAGAGTGAAAGAGAGAGAGACTAACCTGACGCAGCAAAATGCTACGAGACTCTAAGCTCAAGTGTGAGTACCATTCAAGGTTCACTGCCGACAATTCTTTTAGGTTCGGTGGAACACCTCTAATTTTTTCAATACTCCTACAAAACGAAATTTCTAGTTTTTCTAAATTAACTAGGTTTTTGAATGACAAAGGCAACTCTTCTATGCCACTATGGTCCAAACAGACATCTTTGATATTTTCCATCGTTCCTAATATTTCTGGGAATCTTGTGAGGCCGAAGCACCCAGAAAGGTCAAGAAACTCTAGGGATGCTAACTTGATACTTGGAAAGGTGTTGAGCTTCCAACAGTTTTTAACACTCAACCTTTTAAGTTTACAAAGAAATCCAATAGACACATGAACTTCAGTTAACTTGTTACAGCCTTCCAAACACAATTCTTTCAAATTTGAAACTGCAGATAAGTCAGAAACTCGTCTTAGAAATTTGCAACCTCTGAAATTCATCACGCTTAGAGACTGAAACTTCTGCGAGCCAAGATAAAAAAAATAACCAAGTCTTAATAAACTATAAGAACATCATAAAACATTAAAAAACACAAATACTAATATTTACAGCAATCATTGCATGGAACAAATTTTGACGTATTCTTGCTTCATTATAAAAAGAAATAATGATCAAAAGGGCCAATACTCTGCATGCGCTGAGTAGGACATCCGGTTGGAGGAAACTTTCCGGCATTTTGAGGATAATTAGTTCCTTGGGGTTAAAATCAGACGGTAAAGATGGACAAGGATATCCCTTCCAATCCAACACTCTTAAACTGTTGGGGAGATGCTTGGGACCTGTAGAAAACTGTGCATTTCTGATAATAAGAATCTTAAGATTTGGCATCTTTTTGAAGGCCCTTCCATTCCAATCAATCACCATATCTCCGGGCATGTCTAGATTTATGGCTTCAATCTCCCCAGAACCCTTTCATACCAAGTAACAAAGTAAACCAGAAAATCTGTCAAATGTATTACGAGTTGGTATAGAGTCCACTAAAAATATCTTAGATCATAACGCACTCGTCAAAAGATAATAGGACGTTATTCAAGGAATTGGAAGAGGAAAAACAAAAGTAGAAAAAGAAAAGAGCTATGTGCGCTGTCAAGACCCCTGAGGGAGAGATTAAGGAAAACTAGAACACCGTGATCATAAGAATTGCAATATGAAAAATATACATGTACCAATGACTCTTACCTTGTTTTCTTCCAACGCATTAAGAATGTCTTTATGAAACCATAACCTAGTGCGCTTTTCAGGCTCATATGGTGATTTCTGTCGCACAATTTCTTTACCCATGGCTTGAATCAAATCGTGCATCGTCACCTTACCATGATTCATCTTTATGAGACATTTATCAATCAACACTTGAACACCATAATCCGGGCATATACCACGTGCATACAATGCACTTCTTACATATTCAAAACTGTCACCTTGAAAGCAGCAAGCAATGTCAAGAAAGATTTCCTGTTCGTATTCCTCCAAAGCATCATAGCTTACCTTCAGGATTTGTTGGATCTCTTTAATTGGAATACTACGATAACTTTCTAATGCAGAATTCCAATCATTTGTTTCTCTACCGAACAAGTTGGAACCTATAACTTCCAACGCCAATGGAAGACCACCAGCATAGAGTACTACATTGTTTAAAACGCCCATGCAACTTGAATCAACACTACTTTGTTTAAAAGCATGCCATTTAAGCAATTCGAGACCTTCTTCTTTATTTAAACAGTCTACCTCATAAATTCTTTTAACACCATGGCTTACTAGCAAATGCTGATCCCTTGTTGTTACAATGATTCTACTACCAGAACCAAACCAATCAAGTCCCCCAGCAATTGCTTGTAATTGCTTTGGCTTATCAACATCATCAAGAACAAGAAGAACCTTCTTTTTGTGGAGCCTATGCTTTATTGTTGGAATTCCTTTATTAACATCTCTTAACTTGATGTCCTCCTCCAACAGTTCAGAAAGAAGCATTTCCTGGACATATGCTAGGCCATGATTAATTGAATTTTCTCTAACATCAGCAAGGAAACAAAAGCCTTCGAATGAGTCCACAATCGAACTGCATACTGCTCGAGCAATTGTTGATTTTCCTATTCCACCAGTGCCACATATTCCTACCATTTGGACCCCTTCATTAGATTCAACATTTAGAAGAGAATTTACTTTTCGCACTCGATACTCAAATCCAACTGGATAATCAGCAATGTGTAAAGGCTTGCGGTTAACTCTCTTAGTGACCTCTTTAACAATTGCTTTAATCAAAGCATATTCATATTGATATCTGCACCAATAACAAATTTTCTGAAAATTCAAACTAAGGGCGTCAAATCAATCTTGTGATCATCTCACAACATAAAGTGACGCCAAATTCATCAAAACATATACTCAGATACAAAATAGCTCAATATAAGACTCAAACACTTCAGATTTTGCTATGCTCATTATTATTGGCCTTATTTAGTTATTTATAATATATGTATGTAAGTACGTATAAATGTAGGTAAGTAGAAGAGTGACTATCAAATAAACTAAATGCAAATACATCAGCCAAAATAAATTCATTTTCTGTTTTCATTTTTCTTTTGATACACATAAGAGCTAATAGGAAACAATAAAGCACTTCAAACTTTGAAAGTCATAATTTGTGTTGCAGCCTCTCTTAGATGTTAATTTAGTAGCAACAATCAATATCAAAAAAAGAAATAAAAGATGTAAAACAAAAGAGAGGCAGTGGAATAACATACCCAGGCTTAAAATGGAAACCCGAGAGATTAGCAGCATCTTGTAGAGCCTGCCTCCATTTTTGCACCTTCTCCTTGTCATTTTTAAACCTCCTCTCGTGCTGAGCAAATACTTCTCTATAATTTTTTCTTTGACGTCGTACTCTTGATGGATCCACGTCATAAAAAATGGGCAAAACCAGTCTACCTTTTTTGTTTATATGCTCAAGGATCTGAACAAGCTCATCTAAGCAAGATGTAGAGGAAACATAGTTTCTAGAGAAAATAGTAATAGCCATCCTAGACTCTTGGATTGCTTTGAGAAGTGAAGGCGTAATCTTTTCTCCTTTCCTAAGCCTTTCATCGTCTAAAAAAGTATGGATACCCTTTTGTTGCAAAGCCTCGTAGAGGTTTCGAGCAAAATCAAAGCGAGAATCTTCACCTCTGAAATTGAGAAACACATCATAAGTCCATCCATAAGAGGAGGACAGGGAAAATGGTGATTGCCCAGCCATGCTAGCAAGTAGAAACGGTGTTGGACCTGCCGGGGAACGAACAAAAATACCAGTGCTTTAAAGTTCTAATATCTATATATATAATACAATTCTGACAAATGGGGGGTCATAAATTTCTCAGTGTATTATGCTATTATATTGTGATTTAAAAAAAAAAAAAAAAAGAATTGTCCAGAAGCGGACCAAAAAAAAAAATTGATTAGCAATAGAAAATCAAGTCAACAAAATCCTAGTTTCATCAGCACAGAAAACCTGAAGTTATCTAGGGGAACGAGAAGATCAAGTCAACAAAATGGTTTTCTGTCAAGATTGCTTTTAGCTGCTAATACATAAACAAGGAAAATTAGGAAAAACATGAAAAGGGAAAGTTACCTCTTGTTGGTCAGAGAGTTGACTTAGAAAATCCTACTCTTTTGGAGAGAAACAGAGGACTAGGCTTGCCAGTGCGGGGACTACGGGTTATGTTGGGGATTCTGAATCACTTTTTGGGTCTTTGAAAATCGTCCCTTGGTCCAGAGAGAGATGTGAAGTATTTTGGTTTTTGTAGTGTAGTGAGGATTAAGAGAGTTGTGGCCTCTCGAAAGCCCAGAGTCATTGTGTTGACTGTTGCGCACCTTGTGCTGATCTCATTAGTTTGTAATCATCACTTGATTGTAGTTTTATATTTCCGGGTCTAAGAATCACTTCCTTTGTTTTGCAGTAACAGTATCATCCATCTTGATCTGGTTAGTTCTGTGATCAGCTCTGTTCAGGGGAGGGCCATAACATTTTCTTTTTCGATGATCAAGTCAACAAAATGGTTTCTTTTTTCAATGATCAAGTCAACAAAATGAGCATGAAATAGAAATGCATTCACAACGAAACGACACGTAATAAAACAAACTAGTCAAGGTCATATACCCAATATGAGGTGTGAAGACGTAAATATCTGTCTTCATCTCTTCTTCGGAAACTAGAGGGAGATGCAGAAGAAAGTGAATCATCAAGACGCAGGACCACTTTAGGCTTAACTTATCTCATTTATTTTTATTTTAAAGGGTGTAAATCGGGAATTTTCCGTAAGATACAATAAATGCTTTTTAATATGAATTACACTCCTAATATTCAATCTAAGACTAATCTTTGTAAAGTGATCATTTATTTTTATCTCTGTGTGCATTCAAAGATAAAGACAATAAGTTTGATATTATTGTATGTTTGTGCTGTATGATATATCTTTTCCAAATAGAATGATGATGAGGGGTTTCTATAGACTATAAAGTAATACGTCAAAGAAATGACTTTTAGAACAATACCTTTTTAATTAAAAAATTTAAAAGTCATAACTATATGTTGAGTTATTAAACAAGATAATTTAAATAATCAAAGGTTATTTAATAAATTTTTTATGAATAGTCACATCTTTTTCTATGTAAAGTTATCTGAAAAAACAATGCAACCTTTCACTTAATAGTGTGACCACACATTTACATAATGTCTATAAAAATTAAAGAAATACAACCTTGATAACTTTTAGTGTTATTGTATTATAACTTTCTACGTGATCCTTTATATAAATATATTAATTTATATAAGAATACAACCTTTCATGTCCATATATCTTAATTTATATAAAGACACAACCTTTCATGTAAATTTGGTGAATTTATAATTTTTTAAAAACACATTTTGATTTTGAAAAGGGTTAATATAATTTTTAACCCATCAAGTTTGCTTTCATTTTGATTTTCGGCTTTTAAATTTCAATATTTTAAATAATTTATTAAATTATAGAGACCAATATTTTAAATAAAAAATTTAAGAAATTAAAATATATGATTTAAAATATGAAAGACCAAAATAAAAAATAAGGATAAACTTAAAGCAGTAACCTTTTTTAAAATATTCCCCAGTAGAATTGCAGAAGCAAATATGATTGGGTTAGAAGATCTGAGTTGTGAACATAATTATTATTCAGTTGATAGAAAGGAAAAACGACAAAACACGAGAACATTTTGAATATGCTGAGACACTATAAAATAGTGTTTAGGTTATTATCATTATATAAGCAAGGTGCCCTTAATACAGATAAAGAATGGTTCAGATGGTTATAACAAAAATGATCGTCACTTTACACGTATAATCTATATATTATAGAAACAATTGCTAATCTAAATTAATCTGTAACATTGATTTTTTTTAAAAAAAAATCTATCATCTTCCAATCACATTCATGTCCTTGCAATGCTAATCACAAATTTTTATGGAAATTGATAGTTTAAGTTTATTATTATTATTATTATTGTTATTATGGGAGGTGGTGGTAAAATGAAATATAATTCACGAATCAAAATCAAACTTTTGTGCTTGAGTCCAAAAAAAAAAAAACTTTTGTGCACAAATGCACGGCTTCAAATATAACACGTGCTCGCATCAGATTTTGCCTTGTCCATATCTATGGTATGTGCCAACTTTAAAATAAACTAACTCGAAAAAAATATATTTGTCGAAATAGCAACATGCTATAATATTTAGGCGGAAGAATTTCACGTGAGCCTTTTGAAAATTAATACCGATATGTAAAAAAAAAAACCGCAATATTTCAACTTTTAACGAGAAAAATTTTTAAAAAAATCTTGTTTAACTAATATACATTATAGCAATTTTTTGTCAGTAATAATGTAATTCATTACTACCAAGTTTAACCAAGTGTTTTTTTTTCTTTTGATGATGTTAATTTTGACCTTCAACAACACTATACTTAAGGAATGTTGATCCAATAAAAATGACAGGCAGTCCCATCAGAAAATAATTATAACAAGGAAGAGGGTAATGTGTTTATTATAATGAAAAAAAATTCCTCCGTTGCATACCAATGTTTAAATCATTCAATAAATACGCATTTTGAAAATGTTAAGTGCTTCAATTTTTATATTTAAAAAGAACATTCTTTTGATAGGTAATAATGGGAAAATTGTAATGAAATTACAAAAAATATATATATAATTGTTAAAAAAATCTCAATAACCTCCTAAGCACCATCTATAAGTTTTAGAATAACAAGTTCTACTTTGCAATTAAAACTTAATTTATGGCGCCAAAAGAAAAAAAAACTTCTTGGTAGGCTTTTTTTTTTTTTTGTTAAGATCTCATTGTAATTTTCCTGATAATAATTAAAGCTTCTATTTTATCTAATTTGTAAATCCTTTTGTTAGTTTCTTTGTAGAAAATTTACAATATATAATTATTGTCTATTTTCTTCTATGACATCATGCGGCATGCCAAATCACCTCTCACCCTTTACGCAGTTTTGCATAAAATTTATCGAGACGCATGGAATTTTTATAAAGAATCGTCCAAAATGGCTAGGTTACAACATGCTTAATTAAGCTATCACATACCAAAGAAAGAAAATTGAACTGAGCAGAGAAAACAATTTCTTTCCCTATACTAGATGGCAAAACATCAACGAGAAGGGAGAGAAATTTACAAGAGAATGGCCAATGAACAACTGCGTCAAGAAAACAAACTCTTTCCCTATTGAGGAGGTTGAGCGTGCGATGAGGGCCCTGCATTGGGAGGCATCCCTGGCTGATTTCCGGACTGCAACAAGCAAGACGTAAGAATTAGCGTCCATCGAAAATTGGAGATCTCAGATAACCCCTAACATACAGAATTCCATTGCTTTCTTTGGGGATGTTGATCCTATCTCATTCTAAACTTCATACAAATTAGAAGGGAATGCAGAGGCTAACTTAAAGATGCCAATATAATTATTTATACCACAACAAAAAAGACGAAATAGACATAGGGTCCAATTTCAGATTTCTTAAAATGAGGTAACCAAGCAAGTTCTTAAGCGACAAACTATTACCTGGTAAGGAGGATATCCTTGCATCAAAGGCATTTGTCCACCTTGCGGTCGGTTAAATGAACCACCTTGAGGGTAACCAGCATTTGATGGCCCCTGCATGTTATGCAAGTTTCCTGGAAAACCTCCAACAGGCGGTCCTCCACTTGTGGGCAAGGATCCTGAATGCATTTGATTCATGCCAACAAAAGGACCCTGTGGCCCTGGAGCTCTCATCTGATTAATTCCACCTTGCATCCCCTGAAGGCAGAAATTTCAATTGCTATGTTTCATATTTGCATGTTAATAGAGATAATACTAATAATTCATAACTTCAAAATTTTTATCAATATATAATTGAACTAGATGTCCATACAACCAAATAGATGGCTAGCGCCACCACGAGACTTGAAATTGTTGACATCGAAATGTGTCATTTTAAATGAACAAGTGCGAGTGGCGTAACTTCTAACTTAAAAAAACATAAATTAATATAGTTGAAAGTTGAACTGTTGAATAAAACTTATTATAGTGACTTCTATGCATATTAATTTCTTTTCTTTTACTACACACCCATAAATTTGAATGGGATGCATGATACAGAAACTCAGTAAATATTTATACACTAAATGTCGCAGAGTCAAAAAAATGAGACTAGATGTCCTATCATACAAAGAGGTGCTTACACCTTTTGAATGCCAGTAAGGTTTATCATTTTCTTCTCCTTTCCAAGAGATGTTCAGCAATTAATCATTAGCTCAAATTAATGAGGGAAGAGGGGGAGACACAGAAAAAGGCAATCATTCATTGCAACCAGCAAAAAGACAAAGGCAAGAATCTTCCACAGGCTATGCACAAGATCCATAAAAATGCATGATATAATTCAAAAGAACACACAGAATAACCTCAAAACTCCTACCATTGACCCTGGCATTGGCATTGGATGTGATGAAGGCACTGATGAAGGTGCTTGAAGAGATCCTGGCATTCCAAGTTGGGGCATTTGTGATGGAGGGCGAGGCATATGTGGATGAGGGAGCAAAGGCATATGGGGCATATGCTGTAGCTGTTGCATGTTTGGAGGAGGCATAGACATAGGACCCATCTGTTGTGGTAATGCCTGCTGTTGGTGTTGTGGAATCTGCTGAGGATTCTGCTGGTAGGGTTGCTGTTGATTGGCAGCAAGAAGAGAGGGATGTGGACCAGGCGGTAGGGGAGGAGCGCCCATTGAAGCAGGATGAGGTTGCTTGAGCTCCCCCTGAGATGCATCTAGAGAAGGAATGGAAAGGGGCATTGCAACCCCAACACCTGGAATGGTTCCTTCATTTCGTGTTAACCCAGGAGGGAAAGCTCCTGGAGTTGCTGGTCCCTCAGGTGCAGCAAAATTACCACCCGCACGACCAGCAAGAGGATTTTGCTCAGCATAACCTGACAGATCAGCGTATTCAAATAATCAAAGGTGTTTCATCACAGACCCACATCTAATCTAATGGTACTTGTATCTATTAGGGATTTTTATGCACAAAACTCTTCAGAGTACAACAAAGTGGGGTGGGTGGGTGTGTGTGTGAGAAGATTAAAGGTAATATCGATACCCCAGTTAGAGTTTTAAACTGGGGAGACAAAAAATACATAACCCATCAACCATATGGTTCCATAGTTTGATGGAAACAATTTAAGTCACAGGTTCAGGAGGCAATGTTAATATATTGAAATGGAGATTAAAAATTTCTTCAGATTGAAAAGGCCACTACAACAACCACCACCCCCCCCCCCCCAAAAAAAAAAAAAAGAAAGGAAAATGAACCAGGTAAAAAAAAGATAATATAATTATGAAATCATTTCACCATAAATTTATTGTGCAAGACTAATTTGAATAATTTAATTAAAAATCAATTTAATTGATTTTTTTTAGAATGCAACAGTTTAAGGTAATTAAATAATTAAAAAAAGGATAGTGCTGATTCTTTTCCTTATTTGCAAGTAGGCCCCCATGGAAAATTTTGAACATGAACAAATGATATGCTGATGACAAGGACGGGCAGACCCACACACAAAAATTTGCATGTGCACATTAACATGCCAGCTTGTGTCTTAGTTTAATATCTTTAAATATGTCGGCATCATAATATGTGTCATTGCTTCAAAATGCAGCTTACTTTCCTTTCATTAAAAATACAAACGTTACCTTGCATACCCATGCTAAATTTATCCCGAGCAGTGTCTCCTGGCCGATTTCTGCACCAAAACTTTGTTGTATGATCATTGCTACCACTGCAGTGGAAACATGAAAGCCCAGTTATTTAGGAGTTGGCCATCACTTTCTTCAAATATTCACGTTATGACCTCATTTTGCACATAGGCATAGGCATGTGACCAGGAAATTCAAAAGGCAATGTTCTTAAACCCCCCCCCCCAAGTAATTCACATAAAAGACAAAAGTGGTACAGAAACAACTTGGGGAAAAAACCAAAAAAAGAAAAAGAAGTCACATGCACAATGTATTATAGGTGGGGCCCTGGTAGTGGGACATTTTCATGATATTAGGAAAATACCAAGCACAAGCAGTTTCCAGAATAGAAAGAAAGAAAGCACAATTCAGAGCTATTACAAGGAATTTAAATCCACCTGCAGAGAAGATATCCAATAGGATGCCATGCAAGGTCCCATACACTATTATCATGAGCATTGGGAATTTCAATTTGTGGTGTATCATGCCTGCAGAACAGATTAAATTAATGATCACAGTAAGCATAACTAGCTGAGAGGAAATCCCAAAAATCGGAAACGAAAATAACACAAACTACGCTGTGAGAGGGGGAAAAGTTCAAAAACAATATAAGAACAATAGAAAGCTATAATATTCATAAGTCATCAACAGTATGGTTGACCTCAGACTGTGTACAGTACAAACTCAAATCTAGTTAAAAGCAAAACAAAATGTCGAGTAGAAAACTAATATATCTGTTTTCTCAGCCATCTGTTATTTCAAAGGTTGTTAACTGTTCTCTTGTTAAATACATCTACCTCAACAAACACTCTTCTCCCATATGAAACACATGGACCTTAACATCGAAGCACATTATCATACTGCTTTTACTTTGTGATTGTGCAAGCGAATAGATAGAGACAGATAGGCCCCCATCATATTGGCTACTATTTTCAAAATTAACAAAGTTGAACTCATTGTGACACTATGACAAACATCTGGAACACCGGAAATAAGTCATCTCCCGCAAAACCACAACTAGCTGATACCGTTCAACACTCAATCACCCAGGATATTAGCTCTGACTCGGCAGAGATCTTTGAATGGAAAAGGGAAAGCATCATTTATTCCTTCGCACCTCATAAAAGTTTCCCACAATTTTTGAGTAAATCAAGTTTTTGCACATTGTAATACTTATGCATTTGTTCTCATTGCTTTCTTGGTGTAAGAATGACTGAAATTAGGAAATGGAATAAACAGAAAACAAACCTTTTTAAAAGTTTAACTGAATAAGAGATAAGATGAAATTTGAAAGCTGTGAAACAATGGAAATGAAAAGGACAGAAGTACATGAGAAAATGAATTTACCCAACAAGCCAATGAAAAATGGAACCATCAAAACTCCCGCTGACAAAGTACTCCTCATGAAATGGATGCCAAGCCAAAGCTAACAAAGTTGCAAGTAATGCATGAGAATCGTCTTCCATCCCATCAAAGTAGAAGATAAGCAAAATGGCAATTTCTCTGAACAGTCCTATCGATGCTACACTACCAAGTAGAAGAAAATATATCCATGTTTCCGGGGAAAAAAAAAATCCTAATTCCATATTGAGTCCTTCAGATTTCTTCCAACAGAAAAACAAATATCACTTACCAGTAACATCCTTCCGATGTCCACGGAAAGATTCAAGTTCCTTCATAGCCCTTATGTCATAAAGCTGCAGAGAGGTGGTTATGTACATAAGTATTCTGGGAGGAAGAAATAATGTAATGAGAAAAATAATATAATTGAAAAAAAAAAAATCGGAATGAAACAAGGGGCCAAAAAGAAACAACACCAGAAAGCCAGAAAGCAAGAGGCAAATGTCTATTAGTTGTCTTTCTACCTTCACAGCGAACATTCTGTTGAAAATCCCAAGCATTTATTATTATTTTCATTTGTTGAGGCCTATTTGCTGTCTTATCATGTTATTCATTGTGGACCATCAATGTTTTTCCCCTTCTTTTCATGTTAATATGGTGTCTCTGCCTTTATGGTGGATTTATTGTAGCAGATATTCAGAGCCTGAATGGCAGGATTGTTACCATCTACTTACTTATATAATCTCACCTCCTACCATGAATAAAGTAAGAATTTCAGTGTAATTATTATCAGGATCTTTGGTAAAGTTACAAACCTTGATTATTTGATCCTTTGAGGCAGTTAACACCCAGTTACCATTTTGATTCCATTTGACGCATAGGACAGTGTTTTTGTGGCCATGACTGCATAACAAAAGCATGGAACTATTCAATAACTGAACTGACATGTAAACCAAAACCGTGAACACCTACACTTACAATGAGCAAAGCTCTTTCCCTCTCTTAGCATCCCAAAGCTTCACAAGATTGTCTTTGCCACCTAAATTGCAAAGGCCAAATGAAATACACATCACAATATTAAATAAAATATTCTCAGGAAAATAAAAGGAATAATTAAAACACCTGAAACTAATAGAGATTTTGTGGGATGCCAGTCAACACTCTTTACATCCCAACCATGGCCTGCCTGAGTTCAAATGTCGCAACAAAACTCAGAGGTTAGTTCATAAATAGTAAAGAAATGAACAACATCACATAAGCATTTGTCACTATAACCCCTGTGATATTTAAGAACATTTACATATAATAGTAATTTTATAACCCAACAGGACAAGAACATGAAAACTCAATTCATGGCACTTTCCTTTTTTGTCATAAAAAATATAAGAAATCCAAAGTAGCCAATTTTATTTACTTCCAACATCTAATTTCCACAATAAAACTGACGGACCATCACCAAAATTAGCGGTTAAATGGAGGACTGCTTGGGGCTTATAGACTATTAGCATCCCAAACTTTCTCCTAATTTATTTTGATATTCTCACCACATTCTGTATGCCCATGTGCCTCCGCATTCTGTGTTCAGTTTAACTCTGGCTCCTTTTTAATAGTTGCGCAAAACTTGTAGTAATAGAAGGGTGCTTGTGTCAACTGTCGGGTTGAATTATCTGATGGAGATGTATATTTCATGATACATTCAACTTATTTTTAACTTAGTTGTTGAATCTTACAATTTAATATTCAGAAACATGCCTTCTGGTTTGTCATATGCATGAAGATGCGGCAGCTATACTGCCAGTACAAAATGATTGAGCTAAATAATATGGTAATTTTCAGATCCACCAACAATTCATGAAACCAGACTCTACCAAGTAATTCATTCTCCAAGACTCAGTAACATTAAAGTCTGTACAAAAAACAGAACAATTGACCCTTTTTAAAGTGCGTAAGCAATATAAGTCAATCAACCAGCCTCGAATGAAGCAGAGACAAGCTGAGATATACTTTACTAAACATTAATGTGGGCACAACGTCTTGGGATTAAGAGGACATTATCAGTGCTCAGGCTCTAACCAATATATAAATAGAATATTGTCAGAGATTCACTTTCAAGATTCCAACCACATCAAAGAAAAACAAGGCTCACTCTCATCTCAAGTGCATCCAAAGCACATTACCAGATAATGAACGCTCTTCTTGACAACGTGCAAAATCCCAAACTTTGACAGTGGTATCATCAGAGCATGAACAGAACTTCAGATCCGTCCTACAGAAACTGTTCAAAAGGGTTACTAATGAGGATTCTAAAATTGTCAACTATAAAAGGATATAAAATGTACCTACCTTAAGGCCCGGACAGATTCTTTATGAGCAGATTTGTTGGCTTTGACATTGTTCATGTTGTTCTGCCAATACCTAGGAAAATGTTCCAGATATACAATTAAATCTAATCAGGCACATGATTTAACTTAGAAAGCTATAATAAAATAACTATGCAAATCTCAGCAGAAACCACGTGAAATAATAGATTTTATTTACTTTATTGCACCCCCATCATCACCAGAGACCATCCAGTTGTCATTGTGACTCCAGACCATGGATCTGATTGCTTGATCATGAGCCTGTATAAGTTCCAAAAATCCCCTTTCTGATATAATTATTAAACTAACAGAGAGTACAAAAATGGGATCAACACAATGATGAAAACCAATACCTGAAGAATCATTTCGAAATTAAAAGACTGTCCATTCCAAAGAGTGAACTCCCCACTCTGTGAGCCGGTGATAAGACGCCGCCCCGTTGGAGTCCACTTTATATGTTAATAAATACAAGGGGCAGCATCATAAAAGTCAGTCAGAGGAAAGCTACCCACAATATCAAAATAAATGTTCAGTTATTTTCCTTAACCTGATAAGGAAATAAAGTCAAAATTCAAGGAAGTCTTATGTTCCAGAAATGAAAATAAAACAAAATTAATTAAAAAATAATATGGAAGAAAGTATTTGGTTTTCAATTAAGTCAACAAACACAACTTTGTTAGATGCGTAGCAAGGATTTTCCTTCTCTTTTTTTTCCCCCCCAAAGTATGCTAAGCAAAGTAAGCAGCAAATCTTAATATTAGCTTCCCTACAGGAGAACAATGGAAGTCTCTCAGAAATTTACTTACCAAACAAAATCCCCAATACAATGCAGCAAAATTAAAGGGATAAAAAGACGCATGGGTTAAGACATTAAGGCATGGAGGCCAAAGGGGTGGCCTCTTGATTCTGCCACCCATTCAGACAGGTTCTCTGTTCTCTCTCTTGAAAATCTGTTTTACTGCTAAATTCTCTGTGTAATGTTTAGTTCAGAAAATGCTGAGATTGAAGTTCTGAATGCACTTTAAGCTGATCATGCTCCCATTTTCGTTCTATATTCACTAGTAAACTAGTAAATGCAAGGGTTTTATCTCTGTTCAGCCATACTAGATGAGACAATGACAAGGTAATGCAAGCTGATCTAGCACAAGTTAAATTATACCACAATAACACGGAAGATGCTTGCTTAATACATTTTACTTGGTTTTCAACAGTAAGCACTTTAAATAGAGTCTGAAACTGACAGAATAATTTGCATACATTCATATATCCATACATATAATCACGAAGAAAAGAATATATTCTATATGACATAAAATATAAAGTATCTTACACATTCTAGACACACGCGCTTTTCTTGCTGCAAATTGAAACTTTACAGCTAAGTATCATGCATTATCTTAAACATTTACTAAATAATACCCATGGTTGACTAGGGAATTTATATGACAAATGTGTGTAGTTAAAATTAAATTGTTTATATATCAATCAATTTTCTCACTGAATTCCAGCACTTTATTTCACACAAGCGAGGGCTTCTTTAGCACCATTCACCTTTGTCTGTATTGATTAACTGTGTGATGCTCCTTATGTTCAAAATCTTTTAATGCTGAGAAATAAAACTTAAAGTTTGCATATCATTTATTGATAATGAGCATATGTCAAAAACAATGCGTTGGTTTTACTCACCAGGACTTGATTGATTGAGCATCGGTTTTTATTTAGAGATGTATGAACAAATTTAGCAGCAAAGCTAGTGGATGGATTATCTGAATAGGCGACTGTTGGCAACATCTGCAAGAAGAAAAGGAAGAGAAAAGCTTAAGGTGAAAATTTTAAAGAAACAGGTAAAAAAATGCTTTGACTGATCATTTACTTCCAACATTCCTCAAGTGCAGAGTTAGAAACAATACTCTTAAAATTAATCATGTTATTAGAATAACAGGATGATCACATAAAATTGGAAACAAGGAAAATAATAAGAGGAAAAAGAAGCTCACTGACATCTATTGCTGCTGCAGGGGTAGCTTGTAATACTGTCCTATCCCTAGAATCCCGCTGCCACATACGAATCTGTAAACAATTGTAAATGATGAATGTCCAAGAGAAACAGCATAGTAATGAGATGAACAATATTATAAAACCAAAAAAAAAAAATTTGCAGTATAGCTGTGATAGGCAACATAAACAGGTATTCCGCCAGTAGTACATAAGTAATCATTACCTGCATATAACGCACAACAGTACTTGTATAATCAACAGCCCTTCTTTGGGTAAGCTTTCTCATTCTCTTCGCACCATAGCCATCACCATGACCTATAAACATATTTTTCATCAAATAAAAATCTAAAAAATTAATACAAATAATTATAAAAATGCAAACATAAGATTTTCAACAGATTCAACTGAACTTATACTCAACAAAGGAGAAGTATTATGACTTTAACGCCTTAATTCAAAGCAACGAAATATGATACAATTTTCTCAAACAGCGTCATGAATACAAAACGCAGTAAAAAATACAGTTCTGTAAAAGAGGGGAACAAGGAAAATTAACTGAATTACAGTGTTGATATAGTTGAGAGGAGCAAGGGAAGAACGTAAAAATAAAGTTCAACACAATACATAGTAATAGCAAGTTAACCTGCCACGTCCGTTGAATTCCATAAGAACAAAACCTAATATATATGGGCGCAGTGCCAAATTCAGGCATGTCAGGGATTCTATCACAAGAAATGAGGTAGGTTCACCAAATAACGGCAAGCATTCCGCATTCAGACACCCTTTCCTCCCTATGAGCTATTAAAACCTCTCAAGTCTAGCAATTATTACAAAAAGATCCTTCAAAGTTTCAAGGTAAGGCCTCATAATACAAATAATACTTCGGCCAGCGAAAGGCATGAATTTCCAAATCAGACATCATAATACTTCGCTCTCACAACTCAGAAGCAACATGCTCAAATAACTTCCTAATATTTCGATTGGCTTGGCCAAATGCGGGCTTTTTATTGGTACCCACTGGCATCTTATTTTTCATACTTACAAGTATACTTCTACAAGATATCTTATATTACAAGCTGACTCAATGAATTGTAATACATTTCCAAGAAAATCAAAAAAAAAAAAAAAAAGAATGACCCACTAGGATATAATTGCATGGATAGATTAATGTCCGAAAATCCTCGAAGCTTACCATCGTAATGTGGTGGAGGACCTCCAGCAGCGGGGTGGTGAAACTCCGGATTTATATTCGTGGAGGAAGCAGAAGGATGGCGGATCATCTGTGGCGGCGGCTGCTGTTGTTGTTGCTGCGGTGGTCCCCTGAGAAAATCCGCTTCTGGCTGTTGCTGATGAAAATGTTGCGGTGGCGGTTGTTGCTGGTGCTGGTGCTGGTGCTGGTGCTGGTGCTGGTGAGGATCATTGTACACCATTGTAACTGAGCAGTATCAACAAAATTGAGTTTTGATAGGTTGAGGACAGAATTGTCGGGCGCGATGCCAGGCACAAAGCAAAAGCCCTAAACCCCTAATTTCCTCGTTGGGGGAAAAAGGAGGAGCGGAAAGTAAGGTGGGGTCCATGGATTTTCGAGGATGATGATGGTAAAATCGTCATTTCCCTGTATCGAGAGATTCGGCTTGTATAGCTTGCAAAAATTTAAAAAAAAAAAAAAATACACAGAGATTCAGCTTGTAATGTCACCAAAAAGAATTAGAGAGGCTTAGGCCTGATTTGAAATCACTCGTGAATTTTTCAGTCGGGGTTTATAAAATACTACTTCCGGTTTTAATTATAAGATTTTATTTATACTAATTATAAATAAATTTTATAATTAAAACCAGAAATAGTATAAAGTAAAAGTTTTGTGATTTTTGTTTTTATTTGTGTGAAACATATTTATAAATATTTAAAGTCAATCCAAGCACACTCAACTTGTAAAGACAAATTTAATGAAGGTGAATAATTTTAAAGATTTTCAGGTTAAATTAGTCATTTGTATAATTAATTTATAAAGATTAGTTAATTAATCATTTATACGAATTGTGTATTGATTTTTTTAAAATGTTTATTTAGTCACTTATATCAGAAACTACCCAAAATTAATTGATAAAAACCTCTTTTAGCATCTTCAATTTATGAGAATAATTTTAGGAAAAATTTATAAGATCTTGTTTTTAGTTTGAAACAAACCTTTCAACTGTGGTCCTGCATTTAGAATTAGAGCGGCAGTTATTTTTGTTTTTTTAGTCAAATTCTTAAGAAACGATGTCAAGATTAAAATGTTTTAGACATCAATTCTGTATTATATCCTATTAGCTTACAAGAGGTCCAAATCTTAGATTAATGTCAACCATTGGATATACATATGAAGTAACCACACAATAATATTATTTAATAAGAAAATTGTAATAAGATCTCACCCAAAAAAATTAAATAAAAAAAATCCCTTAAAATCATTAAATATTATTCTGAAGTCTCAAGGAACCTTATTATAAGATATTTTATTTGTTTAATTACCAAATTGTCCTTATTTTTCTAAAATATATATTGACAATTGAAAGAACAGTAGTTAATAACTTAAAGTATAACAATTAACACAACTATAACGGCAAATATTAACAATATATTTTCTTAGCGCATCACAAAAATGTAATACTTTAGTTATTAATATTTACTGCGATAATTATTAATCATTTTATCTTAAGTTATTAACCATTACACTTTCAATTGTCAATGCAGACTTTAAAAAAAAGAAAGAACAATTTGATAATTAAACAAATAGAATCTCTTGCAATGAGGTCCTTTAGGACTTCAAATTAATTTGATAATTTTAAGAGACTTTTTTGTATTTAATTTTCTTAAATGAAATCTTATTGCAATTTTCTTTTATTTAGTACTCCTCCGATCTTTAATATAAGACCCATTTAACTAATTTGATTAGATTAAAGAAGTTAGATAAGTTAGTTAATTATAAAAAAAAGTGATATATTTTTCCTAAAATACCATAATTATCTTTTTTAATACACCTTCTTCCTCTTCCACTTGATTATGGTTAAGGGAGTATTCATAAAGGTAATTTAGAAAAAAAAAATTATAAATATTGAGAAATGGGTCTTATATTTAGGATCAAAACCAATTCAAAAATTGAGTCCTATATTAAAAACCAGAAGAATAATAACATGGCTGGGACAAGCACCCAAAGTTTTAGTAAGTTATGGGATAAATTATAAATATTAGTATTTGCATCTTTTAAATAAATCTTCAATGGACCTCACATTTAACATGTGCACATATGTTAGGCAAAACAAGTAAACATTATACTCTTCTAATACTTAATATAGGACCAATTTTTGAATTGATTTTGGTCCTAAATATAAGACTTATTTCTCATATTTATTAATTTTTTTTTTAAATTACCCCTATAGAGACTCCCTCAACCATATCAAGTAGAAGAGGGAGATGGTTTCAAAAGCACTTTTTTGCAAAACGAGGTAATCTCCTCCACATATTTACTTCGTAATCCGTAAAAGCACTTCTGAAACCATGTTTGGTTTCTATCCAAACACCCCCCTAAAAAAGATAATTATAGTGTTTTAAGAAAAACATGTCATTTTTCTTATAATTAACTAACTTATTTAACTTTCTTAATTTAATCAAATTAGTTAAATGAATCTTATATTAAGGACCAGAAGAGTAAAAATAGTGTGTGTATATATATATAACATGTGCACACGTGTAATACTCTCCCTTGTTTATATATGGGTTCCAATTTCTTTGTTTTAAGTCAACTTTTTTGGCAACTTTCTTCTTTTTTTTTTGCATATGTGAAAAATGACACGAAAAGCTTAAGACTTTCCTATATTTTTTCTGTTAATGTTTTTGCCAGCATTTATACATTGAGTTTTTTTTTTTTTGGCGCCAACATCTGTGTGTGGATATACATGGAGTTTAAAATTGGCCAAAAAAAAAAGGTACGTGGAGTTTTTGTTTAAAGTACTGAGAAAATGGGATATGCGGACCTGGGAAAGCGGGCTGGCAGTCGGATACGAAGGCCACCCGCGCGGTGCGGGTTGAAGTAGCCCGCACCTTGGCGGGCTGGCATTTTGCCAGCCCGCCTAATTTTTTTTTTTTAAATTTATTATATTAGTATGAGTTAAGCCTAATTTAAAATGTTGAAATTAGGCTCCGAGTTTTTAACTTGAGTAATGGATCCTAATAAAAAAAAGAGAATTAATTTAATAATATTAGAAGAATTTAAGAAAAACTAACATAATATATTTTTTATAAATATTAATTTAACTAGTTTTCTTATCCAAATTAATAAGTAAATCTTTTATGTGTGTGTATGTATGACTATATGAAAATCGTATTTATCTAATCTTATGAAGCCGTGCATACTAACGACAAAGATATAAAAATAAAATATGGATAGTGCTCTTCATATAACCATACATATATATGAAGTGCTTAATTAATTATATATTAATGATATGGATGAGGTAATGTCCATATGAAATTTAATAGTCAAAATCATTTAACTATATATATAATGTTTAAAATCAGAAAAGTAAAAAAAAAAACGGGCTGGCAGGCTGGCCCGCCAACCAGCGGGTTAGCCAGCGGCGGAGCGGGCCAAAAGCGGTGCGGGCTAGAGTAGCCCGCACCGTGGCGGGCTGGGAAAACATCAACCCAAGCCCGTCTTTTTTGGTGGGCTGGGCCTGCGGGCCCAGCCCGTATTACCAGCTCTAGATATACCACCATCTTGGAGAAATTTTTAATTAAATGAAATGTAAAAAAAAAAAAGTTTTAAAGATATTATCTGTCAAATATAAAAATTTTGAGAGAGTCAAAACCCAAACGCGTCGAAAAGTCTGCGTATATTATTCACAACACGGTTCTGTTTCTCTTTCTTCTTCAATCAGATATTTCTCAACAAAAATTTCAAAACTTTCTTCTGTTTTCCCTCTCCTCAACCAACGGAAATTCCAGCTCCCTCTTTCTTCTCGTCCTCTGTTGCTCAACAATCTCTCTTTTCCTCTCTGCAAGAAAAAACAAAAACCAGAGATAACAAAAACAACAACGTATCATCATACGAATCAGATTTCAGCTCCTTCTTTGGTTTTCATCCGCTTCCTTACGTCGCCGTTCAATCGGTTTTCTCGTTTTGTGTTGAGCTTTTTGTTTTCGTTTCTTCTTCGTTGTTGAAAAGTCGTGGGGGTTTTTTCTTCGTTCCATTTTGCGGCCTTGCAGGTGAGAGAGAAAAATCTAATGCTGTGTCATTTTCTGAGATTCTTTTGCAATGAAATGTTATTGTGTTATTTTCGTGTTGATAAGTTTTCTGGTTTAGCTCAAGAATGAAAGTTTTTTTATTCTTTTGTCTTCAGGGTTAATGGCGGATCAGATGGATTACTCGTCCGGGAAGGCGAGGTTTACGTTCTTCAATCGTTCGCAAACGATGCATGCGAGCCACTCGGAGTCCTTTCAGAGACCCCCCCTTCAATCCAGTATTGATCGCACAGGGTCAATTAATAGATTCTACAGTCCAATGGAATCGATGAAATCCGCCGCCGAATTTCTCTCAGAGGGAAGGTCAAGAAACTATGCAATCTCTTCGATGCC